GAAATTGAGCAACCATCTACCATTGTCTTCAGTGAGTTACTATCTTACAACAGACCCTGTTGAACATGACTGGTCACTGCTTCTCACTAGAACTCTAGGAAATACCTCTTGGAGGCAGCCACTAATGAGCACTATTTCTTTAATATTAAGGATTATACTCTCATAATTAATCGTTATGGATAATGGAAAAGCTAGAGTTGTTTGATTTTCAGTCACACCCTATGATAAGAATTGAAATGATTTTAAATATAAGCAATGTAATGTGAAAGAAATAATAACTTCATGGATAACCATACCAAATGTCTTACCAAGGGTTAGCTAATTCACTCATTGACCAAAAATTAAATAAAAGATAAGGGAGTTGATGTGTATACTAAACAATTATTTATTAACAGGGAAAGAATTTAAAAAATCAGGTTAAGTTTACATCCGAAAATATTGTGAAGTAAAGTATCCATTAATAAGGTGTCTTAAGTTATTCTTGTAACTAAAATCATTGGATTATTAGGTCTGACGTTGTTTAAAGTAAGAAAAAAGCATCTCCTTACACATCGTAGAAACTGGTTTTAACTGACAACCCCACGTTTTGTAAAGAACGAAAAACATTTGCGAGCAAAGATGGATAGTGGGTAGTAATGGAATTCAGGACAAAGCGTGTTTTGTCCTATTTGGAACTCGTCAAATGAATGTATCTGCATCGCAGAGTTAATGTTCACTCTAGGACTCGAACCCAGTACCGTTTGCTTCGAACACTCAGCTACTGAGTCCTTATAGACACCTGTTTTTATAGTAAGATGATATTTAATTCATTTGGCATTGTTTACTTGAATCTTCCCATTGATGTTTAGGACTGCAATTGATCAGTCCCTAATTGGCACATGTGCATCCTATGAGGACTACCTAATTCACAAACACTGTAAGCAAAGAAGGATAGTGGTTAGCAGTGGAATCCTCTTTGACGCGTGTTTCGTCCTATATAGGACTTGTCAGCTGGATGCACCCACATCTCAGAGTTGATGTTCACTCTTAATACGTGTAACAAAATAAAACCTTTATATTTAATCTTACCCAAATTGTAATTTCAAAAACAAATCAAAATAGTATATGTGAAATTTTTTTTTGTTTTGTTTTTTAAAACCCTGTTAAATTTTTTATTACTTAACCCGTAGGGAAATATCAGAATAGAAATAAAACTCGTTTACTATTCATAACATTGTTGATTATTTATAGTCATTTTCAAATCTGAATGAAGAATTAACTTTGCGTTTTTTAGCGAGTTAGTTTACTACGGGGTGTGGTCGCTAACCTGATGCCCAACCCTTCTTTATCCAGGCTTGGGACTGAAAGCAGCTCCCGGAGGAGCTACGGGAGGAGTTCACCAGTGGGAACAACTAAATGCATTCGAACACAAATTATAGAACGTCTTAGTAAAATCTGAGAACCGTACACTAAATACTTCATTTGCTATATGTCAATCAATCATCTCAGACTTCATTGTTATTTCGTTTCCATGTCAATCTTTTTCTGTTCTCCTTCTCTTTTCTTCGATCTTCCTAATCTTTTGTCACCAAACATTTCACTTTCGACTGATGATACATACTGCTTATATCTGTTGACATGAGTAGTACACATCACAGTTCAAGTCTAATATTGATGTTAAAGATTTCTTTACTCAAGCTCAACAAGCTACTTGACTAATAAAACATGATATGTGAGCTGAAATTTTTTATCGCCTGAAATGAATCGAGGATATATACATTACAAATTCAAAAATGTAAATGTATATATCCTAGAATATGAAGACACATTTCCCATTATTTGTCTATGTTTATTTCTTCAGTTAGCTAGATCAAATCTTGACTAACAGCTTGTGCCTGTCAGCATTTCTCACTTACCATTCTGCCTCTCTTATAGGATCAAAGTATCAATCATTGGCGAAATGTACTCAGATTTTTCATGATGTCTTAAGAATGATCATTAACTGTCAACCGAATTACCTATTGGCTTTTAATAATGTCAAAGAAATGTCTTCAATATTTTAACAACGTAACTAAAATCTTAAATAGATCATCTCATGAATAGAATGTAAACATAAATGGAACAGTTGATCAGTTTCCTTTTGTTCTATGTACATTCTAAGAGGATTACTTTGATATTACCATTAAAAAACAAGGTTTTCAGATAAACAACATAACGGCTAGAAACATTATAAGCAAAGATGGATAGTGAATAGCAGTGAAAACCAGTTTGATGCACGTTTTATCCTATTTAGAACTCGTCAGCTAGATGTACATGCATCTCAGAGTTGATGTTAACTCTGGGACTCGAACCCAGTACCGTTCGTTTCGAACGCCATCACGTTATCCACTTAGCTACTGAGTCCTGGTAGCCACTTGCTCAATCAATTGCAGTCCTAAACAACAATTCAAACAAACAATACCAAGTGAAGTAAAATATAACAGCTAGTTATGATATTCAATAGACGTGTTAAGCCCTATATAGTACATATTATTTGAATATACCTACATTGAAATGGTCGACATTCTCATCAAGATTCTAACATCATGAGTTTTACTACAAACGCCTAGTAACAATAAGAAAAATGTTTATTTATTTACTTTTTTTATAAAACAAAATTCAGAATTAGATTTTCCTGACCAAGTTATCTTTTCTACTTCTTCTCATTTTTACACAAAACATATGTGATCTATTTATTAAGCTCATGTGTCAATGCTTATTATCATTCTCATTTATCTATCTATCTATATGAATCATTAGGATAAGATTTCGTTAACTAGAAAAAAAACCGGCTTTACTTTTGCTTCTTCTTCTTCTTCTTCTCCTCCTCCTCCTCCTTATATTCCATCTTCTTCTTTTTTTTTTCCCCTAATTAGTTTCTACTTTGAATAGATGGATGGAATCATTAAATTAAGTTATTGGTTAGTGATGTTATTATAGTTATATTATTTGGGTGTGTGGTTTGCTTACTTCATTTGTCACTTTGCTTTTATATACCCATGAGGTTAAGAACAACTTTGTTTTATATTCTTTATTGTTAAATTAGAAAACTACTTCTTTTTTCTTCTGTGTGCTATTTTTGAGTATTTCTTAGTTAGTTTTCTTTTAAATTGAAAAGTTGGTGCAGTAAAAGTAAGTTTGTTATTTGTAGCTGAGTGGATAACGTGATGGTATTTGAAGCGAAGAGTACTGAATTTGAGTCCCAGAGTGAACATCAACTCTCAGATGAAGGTACATCCAGCTGACAAGTCCTAAATAGGACGAAATGTGCATCGAACTGGATTCCACTGCCAGCTACTAACCATCTCTGTTATTTGTGTTTTTTTCTACTTCATAACTGTATTGATACAGTTGTATCTTTTTATATTGAGAGTTTTGTTGAATATACGCTTTTTTACTAAGTTGAAATGAATGTCCAGTAGGAGTTTGTAGTACATTCACTTATGTATTAATCTGAGTCTTGAATGAATGTAGATTGCAATATGGAATGTTGATTAGAAGAATTTACAATATTCAAAAAAGAGTGTTTTTCTGAATATAATAGTAATTTAAAAAATGGGTTCATAATTCAATTAAAGCTAGAACACCATGGAAAACATGAAAGCATGGAAGGGCCATTTCATTCCAACATGAGACTGCTTAGTGAAAGTGCACACCCATGATCCCATATTGCGGGATTCCAATCCACGGCCTATAGGTCTCACGAGCGAACACTTAACCACTAGATCACTGAGCCGGTCGGCATCAAACGATGTTAATATCTAACTTCAACCAATTCACGCAATTGTGCCACCGTTCACCATGATCTTCAGTGATTTACTATCTCACAACAGACCCGGTTGAACTCGACTGGCCACTGTTTCTCACTAGAGCTCCAGGATATACCGCGTGAACATCAACTCTGAGATGCAGGTACATCCAGCTGACGAGTCTCAAATAGGACGAAACGCGCGTCTTGGATTCCACTGCTAGCCACTATCCATCTCTGCTAACCATGTTTGTGAATTAAGGTATATCGAGGCAATACGCACAGTATGCACATATGCCAATTAGAGACTGACCAGTTGCAGTCTTAACAAATCGATGGGAAGATTCAAACGAACAATACTAAGTTGAATCGTGTAGAATATTCTCATAGAGCTAACTCATAGCAATTGGTATCGAAACGAAGGAACATAGAGGTGTGCGACGATCGATTGACATTTACAATAGAACAGTCAAGTTTGAAACAATTGATTGATATTTTGCAAATAAAGTATTTACTGTATGATTCTCAGATTTTACTAAGAGATGCTGTAAGTTAATGTCCAATTACACTCGATTGTCCCCACTTGTGTTCACGTTTACCACAATATCTTATTATAGTATATAGTGTCGTTTACTGAATTTCACAGTTTACATTACTGTTAAATACTCGATGAAAATGAGGAAACACTGGATACCTATTTAGCTCTAATATACGAGACACCTCAACAACAACAACACACACATATATACAAAACCCTCCTACTGAAAATGGAACCCATAATTTTCTAGCCTCATGGATAGAACCTAATCTACAAATCAATAAACCCAAAATTCAATAATTCATCCCATCACACAAGCAAGTGCCTATCAGGACTCAGTGACCGAGTGGATAACGCGATGGCTTTTGAAGCGAAAGGTACTTGGTTGGAGTCCTAAAGTGAACATCAACTCTGAGATGCATGTACATTCAGTTGACGAGTCCTAAATAGGACGAAACGCACGTCAAACTGTATTCCACTGCTAGCCACTATCCATCTTTGATTACCAAAATCCAATGGCTTACATGTGTAATTTGTATTCATTTATTACTTTTAAACAAATTATATATCTACTTCTTATTCTTTGTCACTTTAGATGATCTACAAATTGAACAAAACGATTATTATTTAAACTAACCATATTGACTACCGTTTGCAAAAGAAAAAAAAGTTACGAACATAAAGAAAATTTCATAAATGGACGCTGCATTCATTTGGAATTTATCTAAACTTGGACGTATTGGATCAAGACGTTTACAATTTGATGATGATTTTGCTGATCGTTTAAATTATCAATATACAAGTGTATTATTATTTTTATTTATTGGTCTAATTGGTGTACGTCAATATGTTGGTAAGTTGTAAATAAGAAAAACATCTTTATTAGAAGGGGTTTTGTGAAGATTTTAGTCATTTGATAGAGTTGAGATCATTAGTCAATTGAAGTTAGACCATCATGGAAAACCTGGAAACACTGGACAACCGTTTCGTCCTATCATAGGACTCCTCAGTGGCAGCGCGTATCCACGATCCTTCACTCGCTTATTGTCACAGCCTAAAGTTGACCTACAGCTCACATTTCCCACTCAAAATTCATTGACATTCATTGGTTGACGAATTTTCTCAGTATGCTTTTTTGTGGTTATCTCAGAGGAGTTTCTATCATTGTATAAATAAGCTTCGTTTGTGTGCTTAGTGACGTCGTATTTCCTGGGTGCTCGTAGAATACATTTACTACGTCTTAACAAAAATTCATGATCTAGTCAACAGGGTCAGGGAAAACGGATTAGAAAAGCCTATCATTTCACTGTGTCATTGACCTTCGTTCCATTTATCGAGTAAGGTGAACTCGTAATAGCATCAAGCATATCAACGTCATCGCGTTATCCACTTAGCTATCAGTTTAAATTCAAAGGGGACGTTATGTCAGGAGACACTATAGTCTTGTAAAATATTCTCATTCTGATTTCATAATTAAGTTTTCAAAAATGTAACATTATTAGAATTAGTAAAACCGTCAGAAATCACTCTCTTTTGAATAAAATGATTGAAAAGAAAATTGTAAAGTTTAATCCAAGGTTCACCTTCAATGCATGTTCAATGTGTTCACCAAAACTAGTTGGTGATAAATTTGAAGAAATCTTTGGTGATCAAAGAGCATAGATAGGAAAACTACTGAGATTCAAAGGGAAATGGACTTAAGTTTCATGTATCTCTGAAACTCCTTAATCATGTTTACTATTGAATGCATGGCAATACAAAACAAATTCAATATTTTAGGTAAAGTCAATCTCATAGAGGAGGTAATTAGATTCTATGTCGAGACTATAATCTATGAACTAACCAATCACGTACAAGATAACAGGTTTTTGGATTCTCGCGCAAAATTCACTCCTCTATTTGGATAAATAGAGTTTTAGCATTATAGCTAATGTCAGTTCATGATGAAAACCATAAATCTAATTCTTCACACAGATTTAAAATCCTCATTTGATCCTAGGTGGGCACTCTCAAGATCACTTTAGAATCGCTCATTAATTATCGTTTTACCGTATTAATCATTACCAATCTCTCTTCTTACGTTTTGACATTTAATTTTGAAATTAGTTACGAAGTAACTTACCGATTCTATCAGTAACAATCTGTCATCTTAAGTTTTAAGATCCAATTTTGTAATTAGTTACTAAGTAACTCAACAATTATTGTTCATTGGGAATATACATAGATACAAAATTAATGATAGAAAAGAATAGTTTCTTTTCTTTGATTAGACCTATTTTGTTACTAAGATGAAATTATTGTTTTAATTAGGGAGTGAACTGATCATTCTATTTATGTATCCATGTTACTTATAAATAACCCTCTTTCAATCCATTAGATGATATTTACTTCTAAACTTATCAGATAAACAGAATGAATATAGGTTTGTAGACGTAAGAGTTGGGTGTACAAGAATCATGATGCTTAAGAAGCTAATGTGCTAAGAAAAATTTCTAATTCAATCAAGTTTCTACTTATAATATACTTAAGTAATAGATAAACTTTTAAGATAAGAATAATGAGAAATCATGAAATGAAATGACATCATTCATAGTTCATCATTTTTTATCTTTTAGAGCATCTGTATGTTTGTAAGTTTTTTAACAGATTTCAGTTTATTATTAGAATATTTTAAGTTTAAATATAGAATGATCTAAGATGGTGGTTGGAGGTCGTCAACAGGAAACCCTGGACACGGGTTTCGTGCTACTTAGCACTCGTCAGCAAGGTGTACCTGATTTTCGTGAGCGAACTGGTGTTCCCTGACGGATTCGATCCCGTGTCACTCGATAACATTCGGTCAGCAGTAAGAAGGACTTGACAAGTATGACATTAATCACCATCCAGTGATCAATCAATTGTGATTACATCTCAGTCCTACAGGAGGTCAGTCGCGGCCCGGATAGCTAAGTGGTACCGTCTCTGAGTGTGAAGCTGAGTTACATGGGGTCAAATTCGTCAGGGAGCACCAGTTCGCTGAAGATTACAGGTACACCTTGCTGACGAGTGCTAAGTAGCACGAAACTCAGGTCCAGGGTTTTCTGTTGAACACCTCCAACCACCATCTTATACAGATTTATGGATCACTGAGTCGGTCGGCATACAACGATGTTAATGTAAAACTTTAACCAATCCACGAAATAGATCAACTCGAGTTGATATAAGTTCCGTTTAATGTTGTTTAGTTAGTTCCTTTTCACATTGGTCGCAACAATGACGTATAAAAAGAAGCTGGACCACCAGGGAAAACCTGAAGCACTGGACGGCCCATTCGTCCTACTGTGGGACTCCCCATCGGCAGTGCGCATCCACAACCTCACCTTGCGAGATTCGAACCCACAATAGGACGAAACGGCCATCCAGTGCTTCCAGGTCTTTTCTGGTGGTCTAGCTTCAATTGATTCACGCTTCCAACTATGAAAATACTAAATCTCCACAAAACCCTTTCTGATAATTATAAGTATAAAAAGAAATCAACTTGTAATAGGTGACTACTTTTTTTGAAACCTCAGCTTCACGTTTCTATTTTTGTGTTATTCGACACGTTTCTTTCTATAAGAAAGTAACTGGTCTCATGTCATCGTTTGCTATTATCATTTTCTTTAAAGCAAACTAACTCAACTGAACCTCTTAGGTTGTATTTATAACAGATTGATTTCAAGTGTAGATATGATTGAAAACTATTTCATTATATTATGGGGACTATTCAGCTGTGCATACTCACTATCTTGCCAGACATCGAACACTGGAACCTCCAGTCTCGTGGGGAACACTTATGATTAGGATCACTGAGTCAATCAACTTGCAATGACGAGTGCAATGACAATCATTCAATGAATTTTCGATTCTAACATATTTGAACTTTACCATTGATAGCTGACATCTCCTATACTGAAATGAATTGGTTGTTATGTGCCCCCTCGTTTGTAATGCTAACCTTATTGAAATCAATAACTATAAGTAAATACAACATTTTTGTATTTATACTTTTACAGTTGTCAAGTTGATTACTTGAACTAAACATTTTTTTTCTGTTAAAGGGAAACCTATTCAATGTTGGATTCCACAAGAATTTACAAGAGGATGGGAAGAATATGCTGAAAATTATTGTTGGGTAGCCAATACATATTTTGCCCCAGTTGAAAATCGTTTACCACCAATACCAGATAGACGTGAATCATTATTAGTTTATTATCAATGGGCACCAATTGTAATGGCTGCACAAGCATTATTATTTTATTTACCATGTTTATTATGGCGTTTAGGTATGGCACATTCTGGTTTTAATTTACATCGTATATTACAAATGGCTGCTGAAGCTAATGAAATTTTACCAGAAGCAACAGCTAAAACTGTACGTATATTGTCATATTATATGAAAAGTTGTATACAACGACAAAGATTATATAAGTAAGTTTTGTTACCAGCTATTTATGTATTAGTACAATTCTATTGAAGATAGTTAATTGCCTAGTCAGTCAATTAGTCAGTTACAACGTAGAACTTCGTACGTACGTAAATCAGTTTGAGTTGCTATAACACATTAGCATTGCCCACCCGGAGACGGTAACCATAGATACTAAAATTGTCATATATAATCTTGAATGAATCTATTATACAAAGTAATATGCAAAAATTCAAGAAACTGAGGTATCATAATAAGGTTATTTCGTGAGAAGAATTGATTCATATCATAAATTGGTCTTTCTATATAACTTTTATAATGTCTTCAATTAAAATCTGTTCACCATAGGTATTTATAGAAGTAAATGTCGGTCTAGACGGTGTTTTTTTAAAATATGAAGTGAATTCTATGTAGCCTGATTTACATATAGGTACATGAATGGGTTTTCATTGATTTATACATTAAATGGGAAGAAATCCAACTTAACAATTGATCTATCATTTGGTAAATGTTCTATTATAATCAGAAATAATCTATTCTTGTTAGAAGCGAGTTTTGTGGAGAATTTAGTATTTTTATATAGTTGAAATTATGCGTCAATTGAAGCTAGACCACCATGGAAAACCTCGAAGCACTGGACAGCTAATTTGTCCTATTGTGGGACTCCTTGCGAGGCGGGATCGTGGATACGCACTGTTAAGGAGTCGCAAAAGAGGACGAAACGGTCTTCCAGCGCTTTCAGGTTTTCCATAGTGGTCTAGCTTCAATTGACTCATGCTCTGAACTATGAAAATACTGAAATCTCCACAAAACCCCTTCTGATTATCTAGATTTGTTTGTTTTAATACATCAGTATGGTCATTAACCTCACAACCGATTCAGGTGCGCTTGTAAAATGTGTTGAACCTTTCACTGTAAAGGTTACAAAAGACCCTAATCAGAGATATCGTGTTTCCTGTGAATATACAGCGAAAACAATATACATTATTCAGATGTCAATTGACTGAACTGCAAACTTCTCACTGGCGATCACTCAACATTCATCGTCAAGATCAACGAAGAAGTAAGAAACTGGAACTTGTTGAAGTACTTTGTGTTGAAAATTCAAAAGATATAATACTGAATAAAGCCTATAGTTTTTTCATGAAAGAAACCTTTTGTCATGTTATATATGTATATATAGTTTCAAACCCAATCTCCCTACCCTTTTTGTTAGATATACTAATCAATATAAAGATATTGAACTTGACAACCAATTTGATAATGAAACTATCCATGAAGGGGAACAGTTTTTACATACATGTATATTAGATAATAAAGATCAAACATTTAAAAATCTGAATACCAATCTGGTCTATACATCAAATCATATTTGTCCAAATGAATTGATTAAAGGAGAAAATTCATTTCATATTATATCAAAAACATTTAATGATAAAACAATGAGTATGGTAAAATTATCAAATGAAGAAAGAATTTGTAATGAAACTATAGAACCATCTATGAGTTCGAATTCATCATCAGAAAATTTACGTAAAGGTTAGTTTTGGTGTTGTTGTTGTTGTTATTACTACTTATAAGTAGTTTTGTAGTATCGTTTGATAAGTTAAGCTCATATACCATATTATTAACTTCCTGGACGAGCCAATATACCTACCTATCATAAGCCCATTTTTCACTTTGTTATTTATTCACTTATTAACCCTGATTATTTTTTTATATGAGTGTAAGTGATCTGTGTACACTTCTTATCCTATTTATCACATGTTTGTCATTTATTCTTGTCTGACTATAAATGTTGATTAACGCTTGGTAAAAGTGATTTGGCTTACCCGCCATCTCCACTGCGTGTCATTTTTGTTTCGTTCACTGATATTTATTCATGTGCTTATAACTTTCTGGCCTACGTCATTTGACAATAAAAGTGTAGCTGCCGCTTCTCTTTTCCTTGTGATTTTTATGCACCGTTAAGATTGGAATTATAACGGTTATCAGAGTAAACGATAAGCGAAACATGGCACTACAGTTTATCATGATATTTACATGGTTCATTGAATTAATACGTAATTGCTAACTTTGTAGAAAATATTGAATTGAATTATATCTATTGTCTACTGTCAGTGTGAAACGTGATAATACCATCAATTCTAGAGCAGCGACTTGTCAGTCGGACCAATGACGCATAAAACCCATGCGAACAGTCTAGAGTACTTATCGGTCCTGATTTCTGCCTAGCCCAGCCAGTCAAGTTTAGAATACCAAAGACGGCCTCTGCGGTATCAATCACCTATTTCAAACATACTAGGTATGTATACCAACCAGAGTCCCCGAATTCCCTGGTACGGTAAAGAGTGGAGAGAGTCCGCTATCCCTCTCGAGACGCTCTCACATGGCCACGTGCATACAGCCATTGACAAAGAAGTCTCACTCACTAACCTCTTGTACCACGGGTATTGTTGAAGAAATTGAGAAGACGAAAATTGAATGTCCCGTGATTTAACTGGACCCAACCAGGGGATTTGGAAAACCCTGATTCCAAAACAATGGTGCACATGTGCTCCAATATCCTAAGGGGACAAATGGAGTATGAATCAATCGTTGGTTACCAGCTACCATAGGACTGCATCGCCTCACGATGCTCCACTGCATTGTGGATTAGGCCTTTAGGTCAAAGGCTCTGTGTGTGACCTCCTAAGAAAACCACCTGCTTCAGTTTGGGCACCTGGGCAATATCACAGCCCTCACACAAATCAAATGAGATTTGAGTGGCGCATATATATCTTGTGCCCCCTTTGTACCAATATTTATATGTTTAAATAAAAATAAAATAAATACCAAGCAGATAGACCACATCATACCATAAAATAACATTTGTACAAGATTTGGCCAAATATGACTGTGAATAGAGGGAGATATTAAATGATAGACAGGGCATAACTCAAGAATGATTAATCCTATAATAATAGTTCATAGGTCAAGATGAAGCTTATAATAAGAGGGACATGAATATGAATAATTCAGTTATTTAACAATTATACGATGAAAATATACACATAGTATTGCTCCATAAATGGATCCCAGAAGTTATCATCCACTATTCTCATCAGGATATAACAAAAGGAATATAATGAAACAACTCGTAATGATCCATACATCTTACCTGATCAATAAGTTAATTTACGTGTGAAACCAGTTGCTTAGTAGGAGTGAAATGTATTGGGTTGAACGTACAACATACCCATTAACATTGAAGTACGGGTATATTCAGCCGACGAGTTTTGAATATTATAATTTCTTTACTAAACGCAATTCATCTATTCTATAAATGTTCAATTTATCGAAATTTCGATAAAAAATGATTGGCGGTCAATAGGACTTGCGTTTCGTCCTGTTTGGAACTCATCAGCTGCATGTACATGCATCTCAGTGTTGATGTTCCCTCCAAGACATCTGGCAGATCCAAACAAGCAAAACATATGAATTAAAACATTATTAGCTTTATTTACTAAATCTTCGAAATATGTTAGAAAATATTAGAGATATTTACTTACTTACTCTTGTCACCTCTCGTGTAGGAGTATAGGTGGCCACTCAGCAAAATTCTTCATCGAACTTTGTTCTGAAAAATCCATTCCAGTTGTTATTCATTTGTGAGGCAGAAAGTCTTCAAGGCTGTACAGAAATATAACTCAGGGAAAATATATATTCTAACCCCATAATGCTACACAAGTCAAAAATATAATAATGGTGATTACTATTAATACTATTATCATGAAATAGTATGATCGAGATTGACCTATTTAGATCTAGTCACTACTTACTTACTTACTTACTTACGCCTGTTACCCCTCGTCGAGGAACATAGGCCGCTCACCAGCATCTTCCATCCAACTCTGTCCTGGGCCTTCCTTTTCAGTTCTTTCCAGTTAACATTCATCCTTTTCATATCTGCTTCTATTTCCTGGTGTAATACGTTCTTTGGTCTTACTCTTTTCAGCTTCTCTTCAGGATTTCAAGTTAGGGATTGCCTTGTAATGCACATTGTTGATTTCCTTAATGTATGTCCTATCTACTTTCAATGTCTTTTCCTAATTTCCACTTCAGCTGAAAGCTGGTTTGTCCTCTCCCACAAAAGGCTGTTGCTGATAGTATCTGGCCAATAGATGTTGAGTATTTTGCGTAGACGGCTGTTTAAAAATACTTGTACCTTCTTGACAATGGATGTAGTAGTTTTCCACGTTTCAGCTCCGTACAGTGGGATTGACTGTCTTGACGTTCGTATTGAAGATTCTCACTTTGAATTTAGTTGACAGTTGTTTTGAGTTCCATATATTCTTCAATTGTAGAAATGCTGCCCTTGCTTTGCCAATCCTCGCCTTTACATCTGCATCCTATCTTCCTTGTTTATCAATCTAGTCACTAACCCATATAATAACGTATCTATTAACTGACATGAATTAAAGGATCGTGTAGTAACCAACATAATGATTTCTGTTGTAAATTCAAAGGAAACGTATTAAGAATTGTAGTTGTAAATATGCACATATTTAGTTCAGAAGGTATTATTCACAATGTCAATGACTTGGTGAAATGTTTTTTTAAAAAACAAATATTGTTTTCTATCTTCTAGGACGTGGACGTAAACCAGCTCCACCACCACCGCCATCAAAATTGAAAAACACTTCTATCCATTCAATACATGATCATCAAAGATCCCAATTAGAAGAACAAAATATTAAATCTTCAGAAAATATTAATAATTTTCAAGAAAGTAGAAAGATATCAACTTGTAAAGTTGTAACAGAAAATGGAGAATTAAATCAGACGATTAAAAGTGAGTAATGTTTATTGAATATCAGAAAGGAGTTTTGTGGATATTATAGTAATTTTAATAGTTGAGATCATAGATCGTGTATGTGCACTGCCACTGACGAGTCCCACAGTGGGACGAAACGGCCGTCCAGTGCTTTCATGTTTTTCATGATGGTCTAGCTTTAATTGATTCATGATTTCAACTGTTGTTTATTCGTTAAATAATGGTAATGATTCACTGTACAACATTCGTTACTCTTGTCAGTTGACTTATGATCTAATAAGATGTTTGAAAAAGATACCTATTTTCGCAATTTTATTGAGTCTTTCTAATCGTTGTAGTGTCAGTTGCTGTGTTAAGCCCATATACCTTATTCTAGCTTCTGGACAGGTCAATTTACTCATCCGTTTTAAGTAGTCATGTTTTGACCTTGTTAATTATGCACTTATCAACCCTGACTGTTTTTATATGAGCATATATGTGTGTACACTACTTCTCCTATTGATAACATGTCTGTAACTTATTTTTGTCCGGCTATAAATATTGGTTAACGCTTGACTAAAATGGAGTTGGCTCACACTCCTTCTCCACCACGCATCATTTCACTTCACTCTCCTCTCTTCAATTTGTCCCTCTGATTACCTATCCAGATCAGTGATTATACAAAATATGTGTGCTCAGAAATCCACTCTCGTATTTGACTTATCTGATTCCGTTATTTACTAACGCGATTTAAGACAATGACAATCAATCATACAATATTACTGGAGTCAGATATCTGGTCACAGTATGAAATATGAAGTATTCGAAATAAACTTTTGGTAGCCCGTCATTCTAACTACAATTCGAACAAATATATGAATAATCTATGAATATAAATCTTCCATTTAACTCCGTATATTACGCTTTGGCCAACCCTGTTTGTGCAATGATGACAATACGGATGCCTAATACGGATCAAGTTAGATGAATTTATTTCAGGTACTTGTTTACTCAGACTAACAGTGATAAGCGAGAAAGCGAAGCGGAAATGGCAATAATCCAAATTCCATTTGATAAAGCTTAACTCAATATTTAAGGTAATGACATATACTGAATAGAATAAACGATGCACTCATACTCTCACATAAAAAGATAAAATGAATAAGCAAATAATTGACAAGATCAAAATATGGCTCAAGATGAATAAAGAAACTAATCTGTCCAGAAGGTAGAATTGCAATTATAAGCTTCATAGTTGAAAGCGTGAGTCAATTGAAGCTAGACCACCATGGAAAACCTGGAATCACTGGATGGCCGTTTCGTCCCATTGTGAGACACCTCAGTAGTGCTCATCCACGACCCCGCACTCGTGAGATTCGAACCCAGGACCTACCAGTCTCGCACCAGAGCAATTAACCGATAGACCACTGAGCCGGCATCCAACGGTTTTAATGTCTAACTTCAACTGATCCATGAAGTTGAGCAACCGTTCACCAATTGTCTACAGTGAGTTAATATCTCACAACAGACATGGTTTGAACTCCACTGGTCACTGTTTCTGACTAGAGGAGTCCCATAATAGGACGAAATTGTCGTCCAGTGCTTCTACGTTTTATATGGTGGTCTAGCTTCAATTGACTCACGCTTTCAACTATGAAAATACTAAATCTCCACAAAACCCTTTCTGATAATTATAAGCTTGACATGTAACTGAATACTACAAACTTATGAATCCAAAACAGTATGACTTTTTAAAGGATGTTTTCATTGATATCAGTTTTAATTAACCATCAGAAAAAAAGGGGGGGTGGAATAAAAAAAAAGAATCATAGTCACCAAGACTGGAAACCAATTTTCATTCGCCCCCCAAAAAAAATTCTCTCATGTGTTATTGATTATTTAAAATAATTGATTAGAATTTTTTTATTATTTTACTCATTCATCATTTAGTTACTATGTTGACTGATACCGAAAATTTTTTTTCTAAAGTATCCTGTATAGTCTAATTAAAACTTTCATTTAATTAAAAAAGTAAAAAAACTATTGACCAGACAATAAAATAATGAAATTGATAAGGGAAAAAAAAATTAAATTTTTCTTTTTTTGAATTTGACGTTACGGTAATAAAAATGGATTGAAATTGGTGAAAAAAAAATTTTTTTTTCTTATTTTATTTTTGATGTATGAATGATTTGAAACATTTGATTGAGAAATATATATTCATTATTTATATGAATGAATGATTGAATCCATTGTTCTATGTTACTGATGTCGACAGATATAAGTAGTATGTATCATTAGTTGAAAGTAAAATGTTTGGTGGCATAAGGTTAAGAAGATCGGAAGAAAAAAAGAAAAAAGAATAGAGAATGATTGGTGTAGAAACGAAGGAAGATGTAACTTCTCAGAAGTGAGGAAACACAACAGCTCAGTGGTATGGAGGTAAAGCGTACATCCGAGAGATTAAAGGTCTTGGATTCGAGTCTCGTGTGTGTGATCGTGGATGAGCACTGTTGAGGAGTCCCATCATAAGACGATATGACCATGCAGTGATTACAGGTTTTCACTGATAGTCTAACGTTGATCATTTCATGATCTCAATAAATATTTATAGCTGTTTCATTAACATATTGTGGTGTGTGCTACTGATGTCAACAGATATAAATAGTATGGATCATCAATAGAAAGTGAAATACCCGGAGGTAGAAGATTAAGAAGATCGGAAGAAAAAAGAAGAAGAACAGAAAATGATTGGTGTGTGAACGAATGAACAATGAAGTGTGAGATGATTGATCGACATTTTGCAAATGAAGTACTTACTGTATGGTTTTCAAAATTTCATAAGACGTTCTGTAATTTTGTATTCAGATGTTTTCGATTGTCCTCAGTTGTGTTCTCGTTTACTACAGTTCGTGTATGTAATTCAATTAAATTTATCATAAATTAAAAGAAAATATTTTACATACAGAGGTCACATTGATTGCCAGTTGTTTAACTCAGTGAAATTCCATTTGAATTTAGGTATGCTGTTCTTCACTAAGCACTAAATGTACATCAATGTATGACAATAATTAGTGGAGAAAATAATATATTTATTTCTCATTCCAGTGTATAATGAAGATTGTGCTACCATATGGGGTATACAACATATATTGCCACAAGAAATGATTGATTCGTGGATTGATTGAAGTTAAACATTAACATCGTTGGGTACCGACCGTCTCAGTGGTCTAGAGGTTAAGCCCTCGTGCACGAGACCCATAGATCCTGGGTTCAATTCTCGCGAGGTGGGATCGTGAATGCGCACTGCCACTGAGGGGTCCCATTTTTGTACGAAACGACTTTCCAGTGTTTCCCGGTTTTCCATGATGGTCTAGCCTCAAATGCCTTCTGATTTCAATTATGAAATTACTAAAATCTCCACAAAACCCCTTTCTGAAAACGATTGATAGTCGAATATTATTGTAAATTGACTGGGGTCATATATATATAGGACACAGATGGATGTGTACTTTGCAGGAGTCCTATATCAGGAAAGAATATCTGTCTAGTGTTTTCTAGCTTTCAATGATTGTTTAATCAAAGTCATTCTGATATGTAAAATTTGATATCGATTACACACAAATAATGAATTGTTAGGTCAGTGAAAAACAGCTTGTTAGATCTAATTCGTAACTTTCAAGAAATTTACCCTTAAAGATTTTGATATCTTAAGGTAGTTTAGTAAAACAATCTCCTGAAAACTCCCAAATGCCCTGGTACGACCGAGAGTGGGAAGAGTCCGCTTTCCCTCTCCAAATGCTCTCACACGGTCACAAGTATACAGCCCCTGCAAGGGAAGTCCTACTCACTGCCTTATCACACCACGGGTGTTGTTTACGAAATTTAGAGGACGAAAACCCGATTTCCAGAACTTTAATAAGGTTGGTGAACACGGAAAGTTCACCTAAGGGAGTTGAAAAATCCTGATTCCAAAACAATCGTGCACATGGGCTCCATGGGACTGCATCTCCTTACGATGCTTCACAGCCTTGTAGATCAGATCTTTAGGTTGGAGGTAGTTTAGTAAAACGATCTCCTGAAAGATTTCTTTCCGTAACATTATCACCAATCCTACCTTGTCAAACTATTTTCTCTTATTTTTTTTTCTTTTTAGATCTTCATAAAACAGACAAGAAATTACCCCTTTTCACTTATTTCAAATGTCATTTATTATGGTGTGGTAAACAACATGGAAATTACTTGGTTACACTTTATATGTTTGTTAAATTTAGTTATTTATCTAATGTGATTGGACAAATTTATTTAATGCAATATTTTATTGGTACAAAATATACATTATATGGTGCACAAGTATTAATTGATTTAATTAAAGGACAAGAATGGCATCATTCAGGACATTTTCCAAGGGTTACATTTTGTGATTTAGAAGCTAAAAAATTAGGTAAAAATCATGTGTAAGTTATCATTGTTTATTTCTTTTGATATATAGTTGTTGATGAAATGATGAGTGAATTGAAGCTAGACCACCATCTTGGAAAACCTGGAAACACTGGACGATTGTTTCGTTTTATTGTGGGACTCTTCAGTGGTAGTTTACATCCACGATCCCGCCTTGTGAGGCTCGAACCCCTGGACCTACCAGTCTCGCGCTATTTGAATTATAAAATTTGTAATCAAAGTATTTCAATATAATTCTTTTAACTGTCTGTTATATCGAATGAGTGCGTGCTCTATTTGATATATGACGTAGTGATTCCCGCAAACTAAAGAGGAGTGAATAATTGATCGGACCAGTGATACACGAAAAGCCGTACGAGCAGTTTAGAGTGCTTGTCGGTCCTGCTTTCTGCCTAGCTCAGTCAGTTATGTCCAGAACACCAATAACAGCCTATGCAATATGAATCATTATTCTCAAACATACTGAGTTTATATACCAATCAAACTGACCACATCTTATCATAAAATAGAAAATAACATTTGTACAAGATTTAGCCAAATGTGGCTGTGAATAGGGGGAACAGTAATCAATAGACTGGGGATAACTCAAGAACGGTAAATCGTATAATAATAGTTTATAGATCAACATAAAGTTTATAATAAGGGGAACATGAATATGGATAGTTTGGTTATTTAGCAATTACACAATAGGAAATATTCATATCAGATTGATCCATAAACGGATCACCAAAGTAACCATTCATAATTCTCTTCGGGATATAACCTTGTCTATATTGAAAATAATGAATATGCTTAATTAATTAATTCGTTTGATTTATAAGATTTGCAGGGAAAGTATTTGGACACACTTTCTGTAACTGTCGATATTGGAAAGAATGGTTATGAGATATATTTTATCTTTTTCTTATTACATAACTAATGAACGTCTATCTTTAAATGTTACTCAATGTCACCTATTAAATAGATGCTCTTCGCATGACTACACAATTTACTTAATAAATAAATTAACATAATTATTTCTATTTATTACTTACTCACCTAAGCCTATTACTCCCAATAGAGCATAGGCCATTGAACATCATTCTCGAACCATCTCTGTCCTGGACATTCCTTTCTAGTTCTATAGAACTTTAGTTCATTCTTCTCATGTCTGTCTCTATTTGTCAGCGTAATGTGTTTTTCGGTCTTCCTCTTCTCTTTAGGCCTTGAGAAATCTAAGTGATAAGGGCTTGCCTTGTGACGCAGTTAGGTAATCTGCTTATCCACTTCCAGCACTTCTTGATTTCTTCCTCCGCTGGAATCTAGTTTGTTCTCTCCCACAGTAGGTTGTTGTTGATAGTGTCTGGCCAACGGATCAGAAGTATTTTGTGTAGCCCACTGTTGCAATGATGGAGGTATGTTCATTCCTTAATTTCCTCTCTAATTGCTATAGAATAAACGGAATGTGGTTAGCAATGGTATACAGTATGAGTGTTTCTTCCAATTTAAAACTCATCACTTGCTTGTATCTACACACCAGAGCTAGCTTCCATCCTGAAACTCGAACTCATTACCGTTTGTTACAAAAGTCACTAAGTTATCTAATAAGCTACTGAGTCCAGAAAGCCACTTACAAGCACGACGTCCATGAGATTTAATGCATTTTGAAATAGTTTGGATTATATTGTAGCTTATATATCTGACGTAAATTTGAGGATGTCCTTATGCCAACTAGAACTGATCAAAACTGCAGTCGAAGTCTTGAACTTCAATAATATATTTTACATTTTATTCTTGAAATTCATTCTATATTTTTGAATATTTATTCTTTCTTTATACCATCATCTTGATACCATTATCATTCCGACACTTTTTCTATTCATTTCATTGTTCTGCTGATGTGGTATAAAAACTTAGGCTTCTACACTATCGTGTCAGACTATGTTAATCATAACGGACCGCCTAAAATGAAAAGTGACGGCGAAATTCATACAGCCAATTAGAAGTTGCATATTCCTTTTTGTTTTGGTTGTTTGAATTTTCCTATCGTTGTTTAGGACTTCAATTGATCAGTCTATTATTGGCATATATGCATTCTGTGTGGACAATCTAAAGTCACAATGATGGATGGTGTGTAGCAGTTAAATTCAGTTTGACTCTCGTTTCATCCTATTCGGGATTCGTCAGCCGAATATACCTGCACCTACTCCGGGACTCGAACCCAGTACCCTTTACTTAAAATGCCATCGAGCTATCCAATATGAGCCTATAAATGAATGACCAATTATAGTCGTAAACAACAATGGGAAAATTGATACAAGCTACGCAAAAATGAATTGAAATACGCCGCATTGCATAAAAATATGTCTATTTGAACTCAATAGCTAAGTGAATAATGTGATGTCATTTAAAGCGAACACTACCGAGTTGATGGATGGCGTGTAACAATCGAATTCTGTCTGACGCTCGTTTCGTCCTATTCGGAATTTGTCAGCTGAATATACCTGCACCTCACAGTTAATAGCCAGTATGGGACTCGAATCCAGTACATTTCTATACTAATTTCATTATAATTATTATTAAAAATTAATTATTAAATTATATGATAACTATTTATATAATTTTTTTTCTATTTTTTTTTATAGCTATACCTTACAATGTGTGTTACCCTTAAATATGTTTTTAGAAAAAATTTATATCTTTTTATGGTTTTGGCATGTATTAATTGCATTCATTAATTTAATTAGTTTTATTTTATGGATTTATCGATTATTTTATCAAAAATCAAAAATTAAATTTATTACAAATTATTTAAAAATTTTAAATTTAATCCCTAGCAACAATAATAACACCACTCACAATAACACCCATAGCAACAATCAAAAAGAAATAAAAATAAAAAATAAAATTAATCAATTTATTGATTATTATTTAGGTTTAGATAGTTTATTTATTATTTATTTAATTACATCAAATTGTGGTTTATTATTAGCTAGTGAATTAACAGCTGATTTATGGAAAAATTATGAATATTTATTAAATGAAAAAATCAATAATAATCAAAATCATAAAATTAAAAAAAAATTTTTTCTCAATAAAAATCAAAAAAATAATCAATTATTCAATAAATCAATAAATTCAATTAATAAAATAGATAATAATAATAATAATAATAATAATAATAATGATAATATAATAATCAATCATATTTATAAAGAGTCATCGATACAACCATTAGATAAATCAATAACATCTAATAATATAATTAATGATTCTATATTATATAATTGTTCACCAATTACAACCATTAAACCTATACCCAACAATAATAATAATAAAATAAAATCAATACAAACATATCGATCACATATTGAACGATTAGGTAATTCATCAGATGATATTGTTTAAAAGGAAAAAAAGAAACCTAAAAAACAATTATATAATTCATTCCAAAAAATAAACAAAAAGAAAAAAAAATGATTTTATTGCCATGACAACTATATTTTTAAAAAAAAAGAAAAAAATGTGACCATTTCATGATTAGACTATATTGTTAGTTTGTTGAAAGATAACAATTCTTTCTTCCTTTTTTGTTTTGTTTTGTGAGGTTTAGTACATTAATTATTCTGATGATGACTTGACAATTAATCTGCCTAATTTTTTTAATAGTGGGATTATATATATATATACTTACTTACCTACTTACGCCTGTTACTCCTCGTGGAGGAGCATAGACCACTCACCGGATTATATATATACACATATTATCTAATCTGTTCAGTTTTATTTAAACAAAGAATATAACAGATATGTTTGAAAATGAGAATCTTGATTTTTTTAAAAAATATTCATTTTAATTAACCAATACTACTTACTATTAATACTACTAATTATTAGCTTTATTAAACAACATGTTAGATTGTTAACATTTAATAAAGAATATAATATACTACTATCATAATGATTGAGTTTTGTTTTTTGAAGTGTTCCATGTCATGATTAGTTTTTATACTTAATTAATAATACATTATTGCTGTTTTCACAAAAGGGTTTGATGGAGATCCCATAATAAGACGAAACGGTGGTTCAGTGGTTCCAGGTCTTCGATAGTGATCTAGCTGTAATTGATTCATGATCTCAATATTATTGTTCTTTGTCTATTTATAATTGATCTATGTCACAATAACAATATAACTAGTCGCATTCTCTGAGTTAAACGGTTAAATCTAGGAGTTCTAATAATTTTTTTTCCTAGATAGTCTAATCAGTGAAAACTTCAAATAAATGTCTAGAGAGATAACTGAAGCCTAGCAACTAAATAGACCAAATCAAAGGACATAATCTCATCAACAATGATTAATTTCCTTACTTATAATTATTTATTTAAACAAAGGGGCACCAAATATATATGTCCCACACAAATCTTATTCGATTTGTGTGAGGGCTGTGATACTGCCCAGGTGCCCAAACTGAAACAGGTTACTTATATGCAAACATTCTGTATACTATTTGATGATCGAATTCTAGAATTCATCTTACATTTAAAATTTTGTTAAAAAAACTGAGATGTTACCATGTTCACTCATACACGTTTCTCTACTTAAAATAATGAGTGGATGCGGTAAAGGTGGCGAAATTCGAAGCAAGTAGAAGACAAGTTCACGGCGTGTCGGTCTTCAGTTCCCCGTTGGTCGTGTACATCGCCTTCAATGCAAGGGTAATTACGCTGAGCAAGTTGGTGCTGGTGCTCTTGTATATTTGGCTGCGGTTCTCGAATACCTGGCTGCAGACGCTTTAGAGTCTAAACATTTAATTATTGTGTAGTGGAATTAACGAGTTAAACAATAACAGTTTAAAGATATATTTTAACTTAATACTTACATACATATAATTCAGCTGTTTAGTGATATAAAATTTAACACGGCAAATACTTTGAAATAATTCCAAGTTATTTGTACGTAGCCCCGAAGTGACCTGGTACGGAGAGTTAGCTCGATTTCTCCAAATGCTATCACATATACCATGTGCACACAGCCACTGACAGGGAAGCCCTACTCACTGACTTCTCGCACCACGGGCGTTGTTTTTGAAATTGAAGTGACGGAAAGCGAATGTCAGACGCTTTAACCGGGTTGGCGGATATGGAGGATCTACCTAGGGAAGTTGAAAAACTGTGATTTCAAACCAATGATGCACATGGACTCCAGAATCCTAAGGAAATAAAGGGTGTATGAACTAATGATTAGTCACCGGTAACCATGGCAGTGCATCTCCTTACGTTGCCCCACTACCTCATGGACTAGACCATTAGGTTTGAGGCTCCAGGTGTGGCCCCTTGAGAAAAACAACTGCTTCGGTTTGGGCACCTGGGCAATATCCCAGCCCTCACACAAACTGGATGATTTGTATAGTTCATATGTATTGGGTGTCCCTTTTTACCAATGTGTTCAAATAAATTAAATACGAATTTGCACAGAACTAATACTTAAACTCGCATATATCCATATTTAGATTCGTTGTAAAAAGAATCCTTCAGTGAATTTTATGTTCCTTTTTTCAAATATTTAAATGCAAATTCTATGTCCAATTCCAACTAAATCAGTGTAAATGACCTTCACAAAAGAATAAATCCCATTTTAGTATAATACCAACTAAAGTAGTTCATACCAATTTCAAAAGAAGATTCTGTATGTTTTCCGAACAATATGAAGTCATAACAACAACAACAACAACCAAGAAGAAGAATAAAGATTAGGATCAACTTAGATTAAATTAGATAATTCTCGATAATCATTCATATTATAAGTTACATTTTGTGTATGTGTGTGTGTGTGTGTGTAAATATACCAGTCTATCCAATACAAAAAGTGATTATATATAGATTAATGAAAACTAAATAGATCAGTGAAATTGTTAACAGTTTAATTACTTTTGTGTTTTTTTTTCTTCATTTCAATACAACATACTACTTATAACAAAAGTAGATTAATAAGAATCTATTGAATAATCCTCTTGTAAATTACTCTACTAATATAATTGGAGGTCGATGGATTAGTAAAAGAGGGGGGGGAAATTCTTGTCTAACTAATAGTGAAGAATATTTTAACGCATAGAAACCTAAGGAACTATTGTATCTTTAATTTAAATAGACTTTTTTTAATATACACATCTATAGACGTATGCAAACAGATTGATATGTATATGCAGGATAACTCTATTATTGTATTCAATACATTAATCTCTACTTTTAATTAAGATACTGTTTAAATATTCCTTATTCAGGTTATAGTTTACTTATACAAAAGTGATTAACTGAGATTTAGTTTATGTTTTAATCATGTGAATACTTTTTTGGAAATAGAAGAGTTGAGTAGTAATAAATGGACTGTTATAAATTTGAAATCAAATCGTCTCTCTATTGTGTTATCTTTATAAATGTGAATTTGCACCTAGTATTACTGTAGTGAACAAGAAGACAACTCCGCCTGTAGCACTTCTAGAGTTACTGACTGGTTCAAAGCCCAGGGTAAAGGAGGAGGGTTGAGCATGGGGTTAGCGATCCCATCCCGTAGAAAAACTAACTCGTTAAAAAAAACCTTAACCAGAAAGAAATAATTCAGACTATTTAAACTCTGCCCTGGGAGTTGGAGGAATAATTATGATGCCCACGACAGGATTGGATGGTGAATGCTGGTGAGCGGCCTATGTTCCTCCACGAAGAGTAACATGCGTAAGTAAGTAAATAAGAAAAAGAAGACGAGTGGGGACAATCGAATGTATTTAGGCACAAATTACAAACTATCTCACTAAAACCTGAAAACCATGCAGTAAACGGTTAATTTGCAAAGTAACAATCAATTGTCTCAATCTTCACTGTTCCTTCTGTAGATATCAGTTCATCTTCTTTGATTTCATTGTTTATACATTTTCATACTAATTGCGCTTTGTTCCTGTTCTTTCTTTATCGATCTCCTGACAAAATACATTCTATGCCTGACCATCACCATATACTACTTATGTGGGTATAAGTAACTCACACCACATGACTACTCACAAACTTAATTTTTCGGTTTAATGATAAAAATTTATTAAGATATAGAGTACAAGTATTTATCAAAAGAATTAAATCATTAATAACATGTTGGTAGCGTAGTATATAGTTTGTTGAATATGTATGTATGCTCTTACGTAAGATATCTGATAAGGTTCGTCATAGTGCTAATTGATTGATTTTCATGTTTATTAAATTTGAAAAATAAAAACTCGGACACTCAGTACCGTATTTTAAATCTGAATAATTGAGTAGTAGTGAAGAATTCCTTTCAGAACGGAACTGGATGATGTTTAGCCTGGTAGATTTTTTAAATTTTTTCTGAACTAGTGTATCCGTATTAACTCGTTGAAGATAGTAAGTATGCCTTGCCGATGAAAGATAACTAGCACAAAACTTAAATCTAGAATTTAATGTTGCCTACATCCAGATAATCTAACATGAAAACCTACGATCAAAGAGTCTAGATGTTAATTAAAAAACTCTGTATTCAAAAAGTTTCGATCAGTAATTTGAAATACTTTTATAACTTTGGCAAAAGAATAAGAAAACATCCGGGAGAATTTCAATTAAATCTAATCAAGTTACCATCTAAAAACGTACTTGCCCATGTTTACAAACAAGCGAACAGTATAATATGTTATAATAACACAATTTATTACTGGATTCTTAATTTATAACGTACAATAGTCATTTGAAGATTGATGTTAAATTACCCCTATCAATAGTAAAATAGCTATCAACCAGGTAATGAGTATATTCAGCGTCATAACAACTATGCTTCATAATTGACTTTTGAGTTTACTCTTTAACAACAAAAAAACACACGATTAGAATCTACTTACAAGTACCTGTTATTTCCTGATAAAAATAATGAATGGAAACTTTGAGATCTATTTATGAACCAATATTATGCATATATATTTTTATGGTATAATCGCTAAGTAACTAAACTATCATATTCGAGTCTCTCTTATTATAAGCTATATTTTGTACTAGAAACGATTGTTATATGATTTACCACTTATGAATTATGCCCTGTCTATTACTTACTATCTCCCCTATTTACAGCCACATTTGACTGAATCTTGTACAATTGTTATTTTCTATTTTATGGTACGATGTAGTTTGTCTGTTTGGTAATATAAACTCAGTATGTTTGAAATATAATGATTCATATTGCATAGGCTGTTATTGGTTTTCTGGACTTAACTCGCTGGGCTAGGCAGAAGCACGATCGATATGTACTCTAGACTGCTCGTACGGTTCTATGTGTCACTGTTCCAATTGATAATTCGCTGCTGGCTGATTGGCGGTCTTATCATGTCATACGGTAAAAAGACATCCACTAGGCTACAAGTTATAACAGTACCATATATTTTACTAAACAAGATGACGATAATGAGTGAGGAACAAAAATGATGTACAAAAAAACTACATAAAAATATCAACATTAAGAGTAGTATATCACAATAGTGAGTTCAAAAGTCTTGGCAATGCAAAATAAGCTAGAAATTTATGAGTTGAAAAGACCTCCACTATGAAATGATTGAATACAATGTGTATTTGTACAAATCACTAACAAATTTGGAGAAGTGGTTTTATTCGACGGAATAATTAAATAACAGATACAAATTGTTTCTTAAAATCCTTGAAACAAACTGTTCACAAGAAAGAGAGATAGATGATGTAAAAATTCTGAAATCAGACGAAACCTTGATGGAAAGATAAGAAATCTCTGTCTAGCTCATCATCCAGTACTATCCACAATACAGCAAATTATTTTATCAAAAGTTCGAGAAAGAATAATAGAGAACAGTAAAAAGTAATAGATAATATGCAAGAATTGACAAATTGTATAAGTAAACGTCGAGTAATCCCAAAAGCATGCAGCTTCTTTATTTAGTAAGTCAGACAGAAAACTTCCTTCGATAACAGCAAAACGTGAGAAGACCATGAGAGATCAGAGGAAAAGGTAACACCAAGACAATTGACCTTCGACAAGGTGTTGATCAAAGAGTCTCCAATGGCACGAGCATTATGGGATTACCAAAATAGTCTATAGGTGATGTCCATGTCTCAGGCTGAAGTTAATAACTTCACATTTAGATGAATTAAGTAAGAGACCATTACCAAAAGACAACTATTCAATACGAGACAAAAAACTCGTTCATTTTTATAGGATGTAAAGAGGTAGGAATCGGCATACAAACACTGGCGTTGTCAGCATATTTCACAAAAGTCTTTTCTATGGACGATGGTAGATCGTGAAGGAAAAAAGAGGTAAAAGAACAGCTTCTTGTGGCACACCTTCATGAGACAGTAGAGACGTTGAACACTTTCCTCAAAACACAGCGTACTGTTATCTTGCAGATAGGTAAGAACATAGCCAATTGGTTATCCAGCTGTCACTATTGAAGCTGTTTAACTTGTTAAGTAAAAGTTATCTTGGGATAGAATCAAAAGCAGAAGTATAGTCCAGAAAAGCGCATCGAAAATATTTCTTACCATTTTCCAAGCTGAACACTATATATATAGCACACTGGAAAATGGGTGAGAATTTTGCATAGGAAAATGATTATCTTTGTACAAATTAGTTGAGTTTTGTAGAATTATCGTTTATTGATGTAGGTCAATTCATAACATTGTCTTTAATCCGATATGTTTGATGGATACTGAAAAATCTTGCAAATTAAACGCTATAATCGGTTCCTAAGCTATTGTCGTAACCCCCAAGCAAAACTACACTGAGACTTGAACACGATAGAAAAGGCGCAAAATATGCGAGAAGCAGTTTATTTCAAAGATTCTCATTCATTTACAAAAAATATAGGGTTTTTACAGTATTTTAGAAGTCCTTGAGTTTTCCTAACTTCGCCTGTAGCTCCTCCGGTGGCTAATGCCGGTCCCAAGCCCGGGTAAAGGAGGAGGGTTGAGCATGGGGTTAGCGACCCCATCCCGTAGAAAACCAACTCGCTAAAAAAACGCTAACCAGAAATTGAGTTTTCCTAAAAATTCTAGAATGCTACTAAACACAGTAGTAGCGTAGTAATCAACCAATCAGAAAATCTACATGTGACTTTTCACTTTCGTGATGTTACTGGCAAAACCTCTAGTCAAACGCTGATTGAATAAATTGCTTCTTAATGTTTCCTGAGCTTGTCATATCTATTGTGAGGAATTTTCTGGGTCACCCTAACAGACGCTTATTGATTTTCCCATTATGACGCAAATGATATTATTACTGTTGATCGAATGGAATCACAAATAACTCCTTTGAGAAAGCTGAATCTAATTTATGAACAACTTTGTATTTACTAACTAGCGAGCTCTTTGCTTGGTTTCTCTGTCACCTAATTGCCTTCATGGATATTACTAAAAACAAAACAAACTTTACATCAATGAAACATGGTACTGAATCAAATGTAACTATCCTCATTCAATATTGAGTGTCTTCGATTGCATAGATGATTATTCAAAAATATATTCTATGAATCCATTTCTGTTGGTTGTTATAACCTTCCAAACGATGTTAAGGACTGTAATTGATCAGCCTCTTTTTGGCATATGTGCACCCCATGTGGATTGCATCGATATTACCATTAAGTAACAAGAGTTATGAGCATAGATGGATGGTGGCTAGCAAATGAATCCAGCTGACCAGTCCCAAATAGGAAATAAAGCGCATCTTCCATTCAATTGCTAACCACCATCCCACTTCTGTTTATATATTCTCTGATTGTTCTTAAATAGTCAGTGGTTGTCACTTATCCTTACCAGTTCAGTTGATATAACTACTTTCTTCACCCATCATGCATTGGACGGATAAATTACAATGTAATTTCATCTCATAGATAAACTAGAGAGCTACGCAATACGTTCTAAACTTTCTATAAAAGCGGATGAGTACATACGGCGAATATTCATTACTACACAACGAAAACAAACCCACGTTCACAGGCACATTTGGCTTAATCGTGTACAAATATCATTTTCTATTTTATGGTGTGTTGTCGTCTATCTGTCTCGCATATAAACCGAGTACGCTTGAAATAAATGATTCGCATAACAGAAGCTGTTATGGGTGATCTGGATTCAGTTGGAAGGGCTAGGCGGGCAAAATACCAATAAAGATGCTAGACTTCTATACTGGTCGAAGTCATTAGTTTAGCATAGTGCTAAGATTAGACAAGTCATATTCCGATTGGTGGATAAATCCCTTGATGAAAAGCCGTGCATAAGATCACAACAAAATGGCAACGGCCTTTTTTTAAATTCATAGCAGAAAAAGTATACGATATTTATGAAAATCAAGATCTAACAGAAGACAAAGAATAAATGCATCTATATCATTGAGACCGAATCTATGCTATGTCATCCAATGTCTAGAACAATTGATTCCGATAGTCGCACGGACTCCAAACAGGTAATCTGAACTTAGTAAACATGCTTCAGATCAATAGTCACGTTTTGGCTTTTCCGTCTATAGCCTTTATCCTACCTACTCCAACACCAGCGAACATAACTTGTTGGGGCAAAGGATGGTTGGAGATGCGAACCATAAATCCTAACCTCAATCGATAAAGATTCCCTACTCCAGCAATGCTCATTCAGTGGTTTTTTATACGCAATGCATCAAAGTACTAGAAACTTTCATAGGCATAAAGAAGAACATACTGATTTACTGTACAGTATACTCATCCTTTTTTTGTCAGATGAATATCTCACCTAAGTCACTAGCTAACGAAAATCAAGTGAGTTTTTAAAATTCCTACCAATATATATACGCAGACACTAACCGATTAATTCTGATGAAATTTCGAAAATAAGTGAAGTGTTTAACATATTCAACTACAATGATGATACATTTAAAGTAACAACCTATACTAGACTAGATTTAATTGGATACAACATTAACAACAACAATACTAGATATAGTTGAAATGAACCAATTAAAGCTAGATAACCGTTGAAAACATGGAAGAGCTGGACGGCCGTTTTGTTCTATTGTGGGACTCCTCAGCTTCAAATGACTCATGATCTGAACTATATAACTATATATAGAGTGAGGAGAAACCGCTCTCCTTCTCGAAATACTCTCACATGGTCACGCGTATACAGCTACGGCCAGGAAGGTCCTACTCACTGCCTTCTCGTGGCAATACTGTTGTTTACGAAATTGAGACAAAGAAAAGAATGTCCAACGCTTTAACTGGGTCGGTGGACACGGAATGTCCACCACCTAGGGGAGTTGGAAAAACTTGATTACAAACCAATGGTGCACATGAACTCCAGTATCCCGATGGAACAAATGGCGTATGAATCAATTATTGGACCCCGGCTACCGTGTGACAGAATCTTCTTACAATGCTCCACTGCCTTGTGGATTAAAACTTTTAGGTCAAAGGCTCAGGGTGTGGCCCCAAGAAAACCACCTAGGCAATAATATCACAGCCTCACACAAATCTTATTTGATATGTGACGCATATATATCTGCTGCCCCCTTTGTACCAATATTTATGTATTTAAATGAAATAAAAATGAATCTCATCTCAAAAGAAAAAAATAATTTATTGACAAAAATAACAAAAAAAAACGCTTAGCAACAAAAATAAACAGAAAAAAAACAAGAAAAACAAAAAAAAAATTTTGTACAATAAACAATGAAATTACAATTTTTTATGATTGATTAAATTCTAATTCATTCACTAACTTCATAATATGTTGTATTGGTATTTGATTAGATTTCATTCCATGGATAATCATATAAATTCTAGCTGCTTCTAACCACATATCTTGATTACGTAATAATAAACACAGATTAAATCCCATTTTATAATAAATCATTTGATGATGATGATGATGATCATTGAATTGTAATAGTTCAATGATAGAATTAAATAGTTTAGTAAAGAATTGATGATAAATTTTTGAAGAATTCTCTATACTACTTATTAATTGAAACCAATATTTATAATGATTACATATGAAATAACAACAACTTGATGTATCTATAAATTGAATAATGGATTCATCGGTTATATTCAATAGAATAGATAATGTAGAATCAATGACATCCGTATTAGATGATAATAAACCAATACTAAGTATAGTAGCTTGATATGTCATTGGATAGGATGATGTAGATGATGGATCCCTTGAATGATAATAATTTGATAATTGGATTAATCCTGCTTTAATACATTCAATAGGTGGAATACAATATGTTGTCCATTCATAAATGAATAATTTAGAAATGTGTAATTCATTATTTATATACATTAAACCGGATTTTTCACAATATTGATACCATAGTAACCATAATTCTTGAAGAAAATTGGATTTATCTGGTAGTGTGTCTAAATATAAGAAAATAAAAGGTAAGTTATATAATAGAACAACTTTATAAATGCTTATTAGTGTGTTGAAATCTTAAATGTTGTAGAACTCTTAACAATTCCTTGGTACGACCGATGGTAAGGAGAGTCAGTTCTTACTATTGAAATGCTTGCAGATGGCCAAGCGTATACAGCCAGTAGCACGGATATCATACTCACTGAATTCTCGCACCACAGGTGTTGTTTACAAAATTGAACTGACAACAAATGAATGTTTGGCACTGTAACCGAGTTGGTGGATATAGAGGACCCACCTAAAGGAGTTGAAAAACCTCAATTCCAACCCAATGGTGCACATGGGCTCCAGTATCCTGAACGAACAAATAGCGTATGAACCATGTGTTAGTCGCCAGCTACCACAAAACCACAACTCCTAACATTGCTCCACTGCCTTGTGAATTATAGCTCTAATTCATAGGATCGGGGTGTGCTTCGGTTTGGATACACGATCAGAATTCCAGTCCTCACACAAATCGAATATCGAAATGTTGAGCATATATATTCGATGCCTCTTTGTACCAACGTTTGTGTTAAAATAAAGAAATAAACATCCATATGAATCATTGCTAGGAAAACCGCGTTACGTATTTTTTGGTCGACAAATGTCAGTTTTTACCTGTAATGATAACATTTCTAGTTTATATTCACACACTGACGTTTACTATCACTTGATTGATTACTATCCATTTTGTTTTACCGATTTGTCCATTCATCTCAAGGTTATGTTAGATTAGAATATTTCCGGAGTTGTTGTACTTCAAACTAGTCTTATTTAACATCAAGTTTCTTCTAAACTTCTGACTTCTTTTTACGTTACACTACATTGGAGATAATTATTGCAGTGTTGAACGTCAGTTGCCTAATCTTTCCAGTTCCCATTAGATGTGTTCGTATTAGAAATTACCGTATGCCTCAATCATAAAAGCTTAACATTTACATACATCTACTCAGTTACAAACTCTGAACCGGACGGATCAGATGATGAAAGAAGATAAAGTGAGTAGGAAGAATCATTTACTGAACAGTAAAATTAGAAATGTTTTTTTAGGTAGGTAATAGCATGATCAAATGTGAATAACCACATTATTTCATTAAAGCAAAGTTAAAACACCTAGTCGTGTTAACAGTTCCTAATAATAACAAAATCAAATAGTGTTTGCAGTAGATACTTCAAATAGCCTGTGCTAAATCTATGTTGCATTCGGAAATAGTTTCAGTGTCTCAGGGATCTCAGTAAAACTATATTCAATATTTGACAAAGATGATAAACATGAAAAAGTAACTCTTAGATGACATAGTTAAGCAGCTTATTTATTTTCCATATTGAACACAAGACTATGGATCTCAAACCTATGGTACCTAAATCCAGAATCGAATGAAGATCAAGTTTTAACCTACAGATTATCCTAGTGGAAAACATCTTTAGCGCTTATTATATATGAAAGTGAGTTTTTCAATTGTTCAAAACTGATATGATAATTGTGAAATATATGAAAATCTTAATTCCAAGTCTAAATGAAAGTATTGAAAATGTGTACAATGACAATGTAACTTACATTAAGAGCTGAAAGAAAACAACATGGTGAGACTACAATTTATGAACGAACCGATCAGGTATATGATAACGAGTCTCGGATTTTGGTGTGAAATTCACTCATCCAATTGGATAAATAGAATTTTGGCATTATAGCTGATGTCAGTTCATGATAAAAACCATAAACCTAATTCGTAAATTTAATCATCAACTGTAAATCATAATTCTATTTCTTCACACTGATTTATAGCCCTCATTTGGCCCTAGTTATTAGGTGTATACTTTCAAGGTCAGTCTAGCGTTACTCAAAGGTCATCCATAAATTATAGCATCACCTAAAACATCAGTAAAAATATTCAATCAAGTCATAACACTTCATCATTTATTCATACAAAAACATGTGATGAAGAAAAATGTTGAAAACTTCCGATGATTGAAGAAATAACAATTCATGAATCAATTAAAGCTAAATTGTCATAGAAGCACTGAACGACTGTTTCCTCCTATTGTGGGACTCCTCAGCGATAGTGCATATCCACAATCTCGCCTCACGAGATTCCAGCCCAAAACCTATCCGTCTCACATGCATGCGCTTAACCTCTAGACCACCATGAAAAACAAAACAAAACAAACAAAACAATTCATCTTACCATCAATTATAATTAAATCAATTAATTCAATAATTGTTCTTAATATTTCTACATTTTCTTGAATTACAATTAATGAATTATCAATATCATCAATATTCATTAATTCATGATCCAGATCATGATGATGATCTTGATCCTGATCCCGATAATGATGATCATTATTTTTTTCAAATAATTGTTTTATATTAATTTTAAATTGATTTATATCATCATCATCATCATCATCATCATTATTATCAATATCGGATAATGAAAATAATTCATTCAATTTAATCAATAAATTAGAATGAATAAAAAAATTTTTTTGTAAATTTTTTATTATTTTATTAAATAATAATAAATAATTAAAATCAATAATTTCATTCCAATCATTATTGATATCAATAATATAGGATTTGAATAATTGTTTACCAAATAAACGACGAATAATTTTATTTGATAAAAAATAGGTTAAAAGTTGTAAAGAATCAATAAGATAGAATTTATTCCCATGATTATTACCATAGCAACTATCATTATGATCATTATCATTATCATCATTTTTAATAAATAAATTCAAAAAATCATTTAAATGTGGATAGATGATTTCAACTTGTGTATTAGTAAACAGTTGGTGTTGTTCTTGTTGTTCTCCTTGTTGTTGAGTGAAATTAATTTGTGAAAAATATTCAAAATTTAATGTATATATTGATGACAGGGATGAGAAACATATAGATAAACTATCTTGTAGAATATTTAACCAAATCTATAATGAAAAAAGAAAAAAAAAGAAATTGTTTATTACAGAATTTTATAGAGTTGAGATCATGAGTCAATTGAAGCTAGATCATCATGGAAAACCTGGAAGCACTGTACGGCCGTTTCGTCCTATTATAGGACTACTCAGCAGTGTGCATTCACAATCCTGCACTTGCGAGATTTGAACCCAGGACCTACTAGTCTCCTGCCAGAGCACTTAACCGATAGACCACTGAGCCGGTATCCAACGGAATTGATTGATTGAAAAATTATTCGATTTTATTTATTGGAACATATTAATATTAGTATACATATGCGCCACACAAGTCACTTGATTTGTGTATGAAGTGTGATACTGTCCGGGTGTCCAGATCGAAGCATGTGGTTATCTGAAGGGGCCAAGCCTGGATCCTTCGACCTAAAGCTCTAATCCACAAGACAGTGGAGCAACGTAAAAAAAAAATAGTAGCATGGTACTCGGTGACGAATCATTAGTTCGTACGCCATTTGTTCCCTGAGGATTCTGGAACTAATGTACACCATTAGTTCGGAATGAGAGTTTCCCGACCTCTCTATGTGGATACTCCATATCCACTAACCATGTTAAGGCGTCAGACATACAATTTTCGTCCTCTCAATTTCGTAAACAATACCCGTGGTGCGAGAAGGCAATGAATAGGAGTTCCCTGGCAGTGGTTGCATACGCGTGGATATGTGAGAGCATTTGGAGAGGGAGATTTGACTCTTCCCACCATTGACCATATCAGGGCATTTAGGGGCACATTACATATAAGAGAGCATAATCCTAATTCAAACGAAAATAAGTAATTTATAAATCAAAGTAATGACATTATAGGTACAATTGACTATTAGAGAATAAATAAAGCGAAGAGTGGTCGTATTTAATAGATAACATTTTATTTTATTCATCTTAAAACGTGAATATCGTTAAGCTAATTCTCTTTCAGTAAATTTATAATGATGGCTAGGAGTAGAATCTATCATATGCGTTAAATTTTATTTGAAAATGAGGTTGTATCCCAGTATTAATGTTGAAATTGGAATTAGAAACCAACGAAATTCATTTCAAACTCCAAAATAATTTGTAACTAGTTAGTAATACCGAAGCGATCCTTATAATATGCACATACGATGACATAGATGAATCAATTGTAGTCTTTAACATCAAAAAAGGGAAAACACAAAGTCTTACGAATAGATTTTCAGTTGCGAATCATCTACATGAAGGAAGTGAATAAATAGACCAAGAACAAGTATAACTTAGAGAGGTCCAACTGAATGCAAAACTACGCACTCCATAACTAAGTGGTATATCAAAGTATTTATGGTAGTGCGGCAGGTGAATTCATTATTTATCTCCATCTAAAGTTTTAAGCTTCAATATTGTTGCATAATTTTTTCCTCCAATCCATAACTTCTTTTCGAACTAGATTGTCAAATGTTTAATATATCTCACTAGCTATTGATACTAAAATTACTCCAACTCTTTTAATAACCGCCTCATCGTGCTGATATGGTACAGGAACCTGTGCTGGCCGATAATTCTACTATCCTATGTTGCGTTGGGACATATAGTAATCCAAAAGAGTTTCAGGAGTTTAAGGGACCACAACCAATAGAAATCAATCGATCATCATATGACATTACGTTTTTTATTCTGTTTAAATAATATTGTTGAGACAATCGCAGAAATAGTCAGTCACTTATAAACAACATAGTCTGGCGCATAATTTTATTGGCACAAATTTCCGTACCACATAAGCACCACAAAGAGTTAAAACTATGTAATAAAAGTGATAATAGGAAAAACTGAACATGTGAGATACAATTCGAAGGGATAGAGTTGTAAAGTATGTATGAATGTATACAGAAACTCAAGATCTAGATGATTATGAAAGAGTGAATGCATTACCTAACACCCACAGTCACGGATCGTGATTATTGCATGGACACCAACCAGCTCACAGAATCACTGATAAAACAAAACTTGATGACTAACAAAGTTGTGATATATCTCATATGACTTCGTCCTATTCGACAGTCATCATTTGGGTGTATCTAAATAGAAGAGTTAGTGTTCACTCTGAGAATCAATCCCAGTACCGTTTACTTCAAATGCCACCGCAGGGTGCACTCATCTAACAAGTTCAAAATAAGGAGAAACGCACCTCCTGGATTTCATTACTTGATAACATTCATCTCTGTTTATAATGTTTAGGACTTACTAGAAATACCGAGGCAATCCACACAGGATGCACATATGCTAATTAGAGACAAATCAATTGTATTCCTCAATAACATTAATAAGAAGATTCAAACAACTAATACAAGAGGAATGATAAATGACAAAACATAATTAACAAATTGCTTATTAATATCAGAAAGGGTTTTATGGATATTATAGTAATTTTAATAGTTGAGTTCATAAGTAATTTAGACTATCATGGAAAACTTGGAATCATTGGACAGCCGTGTCTCCGCAGTATGAGACTCCTCAGTAGTGCGAATCCATGATCCCATCTCGCGCGCAAACACTTAACCTCTAGACCAATGAGTCAGCCGGCATCCAATGGTGTTAATTTCTAAATTCAACCAATCCACGAAATTGTGCCGTCGTCCACCACTGTCTTCAGTTGACCTCTATTGGTCACTGCTTCTCACTAGAACTCTAGGAAATACCTCTTGAAGCCAGTCACTGCGTACTGCCAATGAGGAGTCCCATAATAGGACGAAACGTTTATTCAGTGCTTCTATAAGGTCTAACTTCAATTAACTCATCATCTCAACTATTAAAATTGCTTATTCGCAATAAAAACATACATATACACATATACATATAAAAGACATACTTCATTTTCAATGTTCAATGTTTTCAAACAATCTGGTAATAAACATCCAAGGATTTGTAATTTTGTAGAAATTTGGAAACAAATTAAGTTAGATATATGATCCTTATCCTTATTATTATTATTATTAGTAGTATTGATAGTAGTAGTATCAGTAGTATTAGTAGTAGTATTCATGATTGTACTAATGAATTCTTTAATGAAATTAATTTTAGCTAATTCATTAGTTGGTTTAATATTCATTAATTGATAATAAAATTTTTTAGGTAAATTATATTGATTGAAAAATGTTTGATCAGAATTCATTGGATCATTGAGATCTGCTTGATTCTCTTGTGGAAATAGAATTTTATTTAATAAATATGTAATTTCATTGAAATGGATCATATAATTATTGATCATTTCTTGAACATTACTACTTATCCATTCTGAATTGATAGTAGTAGTAGTAGTAGTAGTAGTAGTAGTAGATTGATTTAATCTGAAAAAAAGAAATGGAATAAAGAAAAGAGGGAAATGGTTAACAGAGAATAAAAAGAAGGAATGAATAGAAGAGATTACTTAAAATATAGGCCTATAATTGAATGTAAAACATATTCATTCAGTCAGTCACAATGTAGAACTTCGTACGTACGTATATCAGTTCGAGTTACCATACCACATTAACACAGAGATGAAGTTGTCGATTCAAATTCCATAGTGGTAGAAGTAGTAAGAGTATAAGCAGTAATCGGAAAGATTAGGGTTTGAAGATGTTATTGAAGGAGTATAATTCAATGAAATAAATTTGGAAAGGCAGAAAAACGTATTCATTAACAAGCAATGGCAGCTTTCCTATAATTGAATATCATAAAGAACTTAAAAACAACTATCTGTTAGTCAATATCACAGTTAGAATTTTCATTATAAATGTCAAGAGAGTTACATTAGATGGATCTGAAATGTGGAAAACTACTACAATCATCATCAAAAAAGTATAGATATTTACCAACAGCTGGCTATAGAAGATATTCAATATCCGTTAATCGGATACTATCAACAACAACTTGTTATGTTAGAAAACAAATTAGCTTCCGGTTGAAAGAGAAATCGGGGAAAGACATTGGAGGTTGATAGGACATACATTGAAGAAATCATCAAACTATATAATGAGGCAAGATCTAACTTGAAACCCTGAGGAGAAAAAAAGAGAGGAAAATCAAGGAACACACTGAACCGATAATTGGGAGGCAGGCAGGCATCAAAAGAATGAATAGCACTTCGAAACAGCCGGAAAGGATGGTCAAGAATATAGTTGTTTGGAGAATCTTCATCGGCAGTCATGTTCTACAATGGATAACAGGAGTAAGTAAGTAGTAAATATCAGGTGGCGTAAATGAGATGTCCGTGTGCCAATAAAAAGAGAGCATACTGCATAACAATCTGCTCTATATAACGCTATGGGTGTGGAATATGAACTTATGAAAGTAGAAGGTCTATGTAGGCTGTAGGTTTTCTGTTATAGATGTTTTCGATGCACTGCTCGCTTATCAAGGAATGTTAAGGTTAGACACAAACCCGCAGATCAACTGATGAGGCTGTAAACCTCCATCGACTAAAACGGTCTGAACATGTGTTACTTATTCTAAACCACTACCAACATCAATGTGTAATGGTGTTTAGAGATGTTAGTTGACACGCGTTAAAATCAGTTAGTGTCGCAAATGCGCTTAAAATGTATTTTCTTTCAAGTCGTGAGTTTCAATATTCCTTTATATATATACTTTCACTCACCATCTTGAAACGTATCATCAATGTTTAACCTCGCTCATTATCGTTACCACTAACATTATTTCGACTCATTTGCTAGTCATTATGTTACTTACATTTTATTCTGTTAACATGGCATACCAGACTGAGCCTATAAACATTTGTGCCAGGTTTTACGTCCATTATAACTTACCGTCTATAATCATTCCAGTATAATTTAAACTCAGTAAAACAATAGGTAAATTATGTGTACAGATAATTAAATACCAGAACAAAGATCACGCATTATTCGTACAATACTTACAAACATTTAACATTTGAATCAGTCATCAACAGTAAATGACTTGGGATCAATGTGAATCAGTTCTTCAAGATGCTATACTTCACTGCAGAAGAGTATGTAATCGATTATGAGCCGCAATTTTTTATGTTGAAGAAAGGAGTACTATTTAGGCATCTGAGTCACAATAGGTAGAGAGGGGTTAGAACCTAGGACTTATTGGTTGAATACTAAGATTGTTAACAGTTACATTACCGCTCCTTAAACTATGTAAACAAAGAGATTATTTAACTTCCTATGCAATGCATTCTAGTGGTTTGAACCTTGTGAAAATCATGAACAATGAGTATATACACAGATAAATAGAATCTACCCATCAACATTCAAACGATATCGTAAAACAACCACTGCTGATACTTATATGGAAATAACAGAAATCTGTGATTGTTGTGTAAAATAAGCACCAAAACCGTCTGTACGTTCATGACTGCCTCGTAAGATGATTCTTTTGTATATTTAATTATTAAAATTTTAATCCACGGTGAAAGGTTGAGACAAAGTCTTTGGATTCAAAGTGTGATATCGATTAGTAATATTATATTTGGTCAAGGAAAAACGCTTACCATGGAACGACAGAAAAGAAAACTTTAGACTAAGTAGTATATCAATAATTTCTTTTAGGAAACTAGTCAAACGATAAGAAATACATTGGTTTATGATCTCAGTAATATTCAACAATCTCCAAAACCCCCTATATCATATAGACACTAATGATTAATTTCGAAAGGTGATTCCCGGAGGTCTAGTGCGAAGCTGTAACTAGTGAAGACCAACTATGTTAAGTGGTTATTAACCAAAGACAATAGAAGATGGTCCTCGAATATGACAAACTGGCTGAAGGTAGACACACACCATTTGATACCGGCCCAGTGAACTAGAGATCAAGCGTTCGCTGCAAGACCCAGGGGTCCTGGGTTCAGTCCCCGGTTGGATCGTAAATAATCACAGTCAATGAATTCCTTACAAAGACAGAACAGCTGCCAAGAGAATACTGGTTTCCAATCGTAATCTAACTTAGGTTGATTTATAATCTTAATAACATTTAACAATCTCGACAAACCAGTATAATAAAGACAAATCAAATGGGATTCAAACAATACTAACCTTGAAACGAAAGAATGAGCCGATTTCAAAATCAAACGACGTTGACAAATAGACAAATTTTCTGAAAATCTACTATCATATAATAACTCATCCAACCATTTTATAAAGCGTGAAATATCATTCGCAGTGTTACCTGGAGCAATCCATTCAAATAATTTGAATAAATCAGACATAGTTTTAAATGATTCAAATAATGTCAAATCATAAAATACTTTTAAACCAAATATGGCATAAATATCACCAACTTGTAACGATGTAATCTCATTACTGTCATCATCAGCTTGGATTTGTTCAATAACTTTTGCTAGAACATCTGCATCAGATTTACTTTTAATAAAGTTATAAAATGGATTATTATGATACAATTCAGGAGATTGATGAAGAAACTTAAGGAATTCTGAATAACTGAAACTGTTGAAAAAGGTATCATCCACTTGTAACTTTAATAAAATATCCAATATCTTTCGATGTAATTGTATTTGAAGTCCATCAAATACTTTTGAATCACATTCATTAGGTAATACATCAAACAATAGCTTAATCTGTGAAAGTTGTATTAGAAATGGATAAATAGTTTGATCAATACGATTCAATAAAATCTCCATTCCATTTGGATAAGTAAGAATCCATTGAATGATATGATTGATCATTTTTTTAATTTTATCATCCATCCAATCTTCATCACGGAATAAATATTCAAGACGACAAAATATACCTTCCATTTGTGAAAGATTATAACATGAACATAGTCGTAGACCAAATGAGAAATGAGTTGAACATAATCCATATATAGTATCTTCACGATAGTTTGGATCATTATGAAAACGTACAGAATCAATACTTGGAAATTTAATAATAAGCCGACGAATAAGACTTTCTCTTAATACAATGAATAATCTATTCGTAAGTTCATTATGTAATCGATTAAACTGCTGACTGAAATCTTCAGATATCATAAATGAACAATATTTTGAACATAAATATTTCCCTGATGGAAAACATCCACATGGTAAACAATATTCAATAGTTTTATATTCATATATTGATACCAAAATGTAACATAATACAACCAATATAATACGACATGGACTATTATCAAGATCCTCAGATATATTCGATGATTCCAGGAATGGTAATAGAATAGAACTAACTTGATCCATATAATTCATATATGAATCTGAATGAGTTGTTGAATAAAATCGACAAAATTTGGAACCAATCGCTGAATAACTCATTGCTAAACGTGTATCATAATGAATAACTTCTAAAATAGATTTACACCATATAAGATTAGGATTATAATTCTCAAATATATTGATTTGATTACATTTAGACCAATTCATTAGAAATGCAAACCATAGAGATTGTTCATTAAAACCATAATAAAGATCATTTATTGGTTCCAGTTCATCAAATATCTTGGATGATGTAAATTCATTGATTACATAATCAGTTGATTCTGTATAAAATGATGGTAAACATAATTTGATCTCTTTAGAATGATTCTTCTTCTCTTCTTCTTCTAATTGATCATTAGTTTCCATAGCAACAAACTTCATCAATTGTTTAAATATATTTTTTGATAATTTTCTTCCTTTTTTTTCTTTATTATTATTATTTAACATGATCATAGTGAATTTTATCCATTCATTACGTAATATACATAATCCAATAAAATTACATAAATCATATAAATATTTTGTTGATGTACAATAGGCTAATGCATATCTAGCTAAACGTAAACGATAAGATTCTATATTCCATAATTGTATTAAATCTGTATTCATATTGCATAATTGAGAGTTTGAACGTTCAATATTAAATAAAGCATGCAAATAGGTCCATGTATATAATTTTTTATTAAATTTCTCCATAGTACTACTACTATTATCCTTATTAGTAGTATGAGTACTACTATTATCATTATAAGTAGTATAATTAGGAATATCTAAAGAATTATTTATATCTGATTGATAACCAGCCCAATGAGCACATTCAAACCAACATAATTGATTGCGTAATTCAATTAATTCATTTAAATAATTATAAATTAAATTTAATAAATATAAATTAGGCAAATTTATTTTATTCAATTTTAAATATTGATACATTGAATGAATAAAACAAATTTTCACTTGTTCATTACTAATTAAAAAACTATTTGCTATACTACTTATAAAGAATGAATTAAATAAATTTTTGATATAAGTAGTATTATAAGTAGTATAAATATTTAAAGAAAATAATTCAATTAATTGATAGAATGCATCTATTAATAATTGAATACGTTTATTATTATAGAATTCATTAAATTCATTAGTAGTAGTAGTGGTAGTAGTAGTATCATTACACCATAAATATCTTAATTTGTATGGTACATTCAATGACGATACCATTGATGATGATGACGATGAAGATGGTGGTAACAGTTTATTAATTGTTCCAATAAATGTTGATGCATCTAATAAACATTTTTCTAAATGAAATTCTAATATAAATGATTGATCCCAATTCATTTGATGATGTAATGAATCAATAATTGACAGACAATGACGTGCTAAACGTTCATTAGGATCTATCATTCGATGAGATGATGATGCTGATGATATTTGAGGATCAGTAAATACCATATTCAAATCAGATCTTATTGGTATAGATGTATTCACATAAGTACGTATAGCATTTAATAAACAAATTCTCCATGAATTTAATGAATATTTAGACAATTCAATAGTTTTTTGTAAATTCAAATTGGATTCATTAAAATTTAAACAAATTTTTTTAGATAATTCTAGAAATAATTCATTACCCGAAGCAAATAATGAATATTGTAAACCAATTTCTAACCATAATTCACATGGACAATGATGAAATGCTTTTAATAGAATTTTATAGAATTGACAGAAGGTATCACTGGAAAAAGAAGAGTTAAAATGAAAAAAAAAATTGTCTCAATTTCTCAATATAACTAATTTGATATTGAGTAATACGCAATCTGTTTATCCAGGATATTGGAGCCCATGTAAGCGATCGGTTTGTAATAAGGGTTTTCCAACTCTCCTAGGTGGATCTTACGTGTCCACCAACCCGGTTAAAGCACCAGACATTCGGTTTTCGTCCTCTACAACTTCGTAAACAATGCTCGTGGTGCGAGAAGTCAGTGAGTAGGACTTCCGTGATAGTGATTGTATACGCCTGGTCATGTGAGAGCGTCGTGAGAGGGAAATCGGATTCTCCTCACCGTCGGCCGTACCAGGGCATTCGAGAGCAGTCCTGATGATCCAGTGCCTGAGAAAACCACAATACAGGTTAAGATGGCTCTATTGGGTTTCGCAGGCCTGCATCACTTCTGGTGTAATCAACATATTCATTTGCCAACCAAAGAACCACTTCATCGCACAATACTTATCTCTTCTACTTCATTGATGTGAAAAATACCCATTAAGATTAGAAAATATCTGTACATTACTAATATTCGATCGCCGGTGTCCTCGAAGAGTGATTCGTGTATTTCTGACCATCGGAGTAAGCAGTCTCTGAGTAAAGAATAGTGTCCTAGGTAAGGATGGCTAATGGACTGATGAGGTAGTAAATCTTTATCAACTGTGGTGTTTTAGAAATGTGTCACATATGCCGAACCACCACCTACTTTGACGGACGATTTTGTCCAGCGTAGGAGTATGTCGGAAGAATATCACGCCCAGACAAATAGAAATATGACACCAGACCATGAAGTCATTGGCGATTCAACGTAGCCATGTTGATAGATACAAACTACGTGGTTGAGGTTTGCGTGATTATTGTAATCATTAGTTAAAGACTTTGAATGACATGGCTGGAGATCGTACGGAATGGTGTAGGTGCATCTGTTCTTTATCTTCCCACAAATTCGGAGCTTCTCAATTCCTCATAACCTATTGTTTACATTTTACTAATCCATATTTTCTTTCTAAATCATATCTACACTGATAGTGTTACTACCTTTACTATTCTGTAGTTTGGCTTGCCAGTATCACCTCCCTGTAATGATAAGATATGGTAACTTCAACTGATGCGTATACGTACCAGGTCCTACGTTGCAACTTAACAACTGATGTATAATACATAATATTTTGTTTTAGATAAAAACAGTCTTCTCATTGTACTATCAAAATATTCAAAAATAATTTTAAGGAATATTTCAAAGTCTGGACTAACACCTACACAAACTAAATTTGCTTTATGTTAAAATAAAGATTTCACATGGAAAAGTCCACTAATTCAGTCGACATTCTTGGTTATTTCCAATATATATTATCCCTAGCTTTCCCCATGCCAACCATTGTTTCATGTTGAGGTAGGGGGGTACTTAACGAATTTCTTGGCCAATTCAGTCATCGATATCTTCAATTATGATTACATCATCATTAGCGAATGTTAATTATTATTTTCAGCATTCTATATAATCTTAAGCATTCGTGTGCCCCCAAGTGCCCTGGTGCGACCAAGAGTGTGGAGAATACGCTGTCCCTCTCGAAATGCTCTCACATTGCCACGCCTATACAGCCTCTGCCACGGAAGTCATACTCACTACTCTCACGTGACAGGGATGATCTTTACCAAATTGAAAGGACGAAAAGCGAATATCCAGCACTTTAACCGAGTTGGTGGACACGGAAAGTCCACCTAGGGAAGATGGAAAACCCTGATTTCAAACCAATGGTGCACATAAGCTCCAGTACCCTGAGGGAAAAAATGGCGTATGAATCAATCGTTGGTCATCGGCCACCATGGGACTGCATCTCCTTACGATGCTCCACTGTCATGTGGATCAGATCTTTAGGTCAAAGGCTCCGGGTGTGGCCTCCTAAGAAAACCACCTGCTTCAGTTTGGGCAACCGGGGAGTATCACAGACCTTACACACAAATCAAATAAGATTTGTGTGGCGCATATATATCTGGTGCCCCCTTTGTACCAATATTTATGTATTTAAATAAATAATAAATAATTAATTTTCATAGTTGAAAGCGTGTGTCAATTGATGCTAGACCACCAGGGAAAACCTGGAAGCACTGAACGGCCGTTTTATCCTATTGTGGGACTCCTCAGCATAAAAACCATGGGAAGCCGGCTCAGTGGTCTATTGTTTAAGTGCTCTGGCGCAAGACTAGTAGGTCCTGGGTTCGAATCTCGCGAGGTGGGATCATGGATGCGCACTGCCGCTGAAGAGTCCTACGATAGGACAAAACGGCCGTCCAGTACTTCCAAATTTACCCTGGTGGTCTAGCTTCAATTGACTCACGCTCTCAAGTAAGAAAGTACTAAATTTCCAAAAAAACCCTTTTGAAAATAAATAATTACTTGAGTTTCTTTATAGTTGATTCAGAAATCGATGATCGTTGTATTCGTTTATTATGATGGTGATCATGAATAGATTCATCACATATATTATCTTCATATTCATATGTCATTGCTAATCGACTAAATATTTGCATCCAACTATTTGATAAATAACAAAAATATTTTGCATTTTGACTACATTGATAAAATGATTTAATCGAATGAAAAGGTAATTGTATTGATGAACCAATACAATTTTCAATCGATTGTATGAATGATTGAAAATCAATAAATGATACAATAAATTGATTGATTAATTGAATATCTTTCAACAATTTTTGATAATTGATTTCATTAGTAAATTGTAAAATAATCATTTTATAATCTTGACAATAAGAAAGCATTAATTGGATAAGATGATTTACATTATTGATATAAGTTGATAATGATTGAATTGGTTGTTGATTGAATGATTGATTCACTTTATGATCTGGTTCATATTCTTTTAGGACATAAACTAATCCTATCAATAGTTGATATGCTAAAAATGTAGGTAAGAAAAGAAAAAAACAAAATATGTATTTTGATGAAAAACTGTTATATCCTGTGAAGATTTATGAATGGTAACTTTGAAAACTATTTATGGACCAATATGATATGTTTATTTCCTATTGTATAATTGTTAAGTAACTAAACTATTCATATTCGTGTCCTCCTCATTATAAGCTTCATTTTGACCTATAGACTATTACTATACGATTTACCGTCCTTGAGTTATCCCCAATCTATTGATTACTGTTCCTCCTATTCACAGCCACATTTAGCCGAACCTTGTACAAATGTTATTTTCTATTTATGGTACGATGTGGTTAGTTTGTATAGTTTATAAACCCAGTATGTTTGAGAATAATGATTTATATTGCAGAGGCTGTTATTGGTGTTCTGGACTTAACTGACTGGGCTAGGCAGATAGAAGGACTGATAAGTACTCAAGACTGCTCGTACGGCTTTTGTGTATCATTGCTCTGATCGATAATTTATTGCTCTCTAATTGCAAGTTCGTCAATAGAATTCAATAAGCACTAAGAACATGATATATATATGGCATTGATCCCTATTCAGTGTCCAATCAATTGTAAAATCAATGTCAAGATATGCGATTCTACAGTACATGGCAAACATAATGAGTACATGCGCCAATTATTCCCTCAGGCTCCTGGAACCTATGTACATCATTGGTCTGGTATCAGTCAGCCAGATTAAAGAAATGAACTTTTGCTTTCCGTTTTTTTTCATTTTCATAAAAAGTCCCTATTCTGTATGAAGAATTTCTCTGATAAAAGCTATACATACCCGGCCGCACGTGATCATTTCGAGATGAAGAGCAGACTTTCCTCCAAACAAGCCACGGTATTTGAGGAGAGTATGGTTCAAAACCAGAATGAATTAGAGAAGTGAAAAGCATGTAATAATATTAGAGCTAAGGACTTTTGAGGGAAGATAAGAAGTAAAAGCATCCGCTCCACTAATAACAAGCTTATAATGTTGAATTAATGCAATAATTATATATATATATATAACTATGATTATTTAAATATTCAATTTGTTCAGGTTTTAATGAGGCGTGCTGTCCAAAATTGATACTGATGTACAAACTTCCTAAGAACAAACCCTGAAGCAGTTACTGAGCTCGACGACTAAGAGTGCTGAAGGTAGTAATTCGAGTCAAACCGATTCACATATATAAACACTCATTTATATATGTTATCCTTAGAAAATAAAACTATTTTTTCGACCAATCACATGCACGTGTTAATAGATTTTTGATGAACCTATCGGATTATTCACCATAGAGATCATGATGTACATTTCATGGTCTATCGGTTAAGGGCTCTGGCTCGAGACTGGTAGATCTTGGGTTCGAATCTCGCGAGTGCGGGATCGTGGGTGCGCACTGCTGAGGAGTCCCATAATAGGACGAAACGGCCGTCCAGTGCTTTCAGGTTTTCGATGGTGGTCTAGCTTCAATTGACTCATGATTTCAACAGTGAAAATACAGAACTCCACTTTCTCATATAACAAAAAAGAGACGATCCCGTATTACGTAACATGCCATAAAATACACTCACGGTTTAAAATATTTAGATAATCATCAATACGAGAATGATTATTATTCAATACGACTGAATCAGTTAGATCTATTGATAAATAATCAATAAAATCAGTGAAACATCCCAATTTAACGGACTCTAAAAGTTTAAGATGACCAGTTAAACCAATGCAATTTGCTGCATATAAAAGACAATGATTAATCAATTCTTCATAATTAGATGGTGAACATTTCTCAGCTAAATGTGGTAATAATTGATAAAGAATAAATGAGACTAGTTTCTCTGAAGTAACAGTTGATGATGGTGATGATGATGACAATGGATTATTATGTAGATTATCCGAATGGATAAGATTCAAACTAATTCGTAGTAGAAGAGTTAAAATAGATTTAGAATTGAAATGTTGAAAATGTTTAATATTCAATTGAAATGCTCGGATACATTCGTTTGTGTTACCATGACTACTATTATTATTAGTATTATATTCTTGAGGTATTAAATTTGTTGAATCATTAGAAATTTGTAGTATTGTAGTTGGAGATACATTTTTATTGTAGATAATCTAAATTTGAAAGAAAGAGAAAACTTATCATTAGAGATAATATTGGTAAGACTAATGCAACTTTCTCACTTGGCGATACGGATATCTTCAAAAGTTTCAATAAATTTGTGTTATGTCCGGAAGAGAATCCTCTTCAATGGTAACTTTTGAGGACTATTTATGGGCCAATACTATGTATATATTTTCATCGTATAATTGTTAAACAACTACACTATTCGTATTCATGTTCCTCTGACTATAAGCTTTGTTTTGACCTATGAACTATTATTATAGGATTTACCGTTCTTGAATTATCCCTAGTCTACTAATTACTGCCTCCCACATTCACAGTCACATTTGGCTAAATCTTGTACAAATGGTTTTTCCTATTTTATGGTACCATGTGGTCTGTCTGTTTGTTATATAAACCCAGTATGTTTGAAATATACGATTCATGTCGTAGAGGCTGTTGTTGATGTTGTGGACTTAACTGGCTGGGCTAAGTAGGAAGCAGGACCGATAAATACTCTAGGCTGCTCGTACGAGTTTCGTGTGTCATTGGTCTGATCGATAATTTATTGCTCTCTAATTGATGGTATGGTCACGTCATATTTTAACTGGGCACGCAGGCAATAAAATATAACACTTTGGTAACAAGAATTTTGACATAATTTCGAGTAAAATAGGATTATTTGTTTTGGTTTTTATCATAGACTGTCTATATACCTAAGGAATAAAGTGAAATTTCATTCTCCTTCCAATCTTGGAGGTTATTCTACTGTTAGTTTTATACAAATTATGTCACAAACAAAGGATAAACTCTAATTAATACTAAATAATGTTCTTGCCTTATTATGGATAAGATTAATTTAATGTTACGATGAAATATGTTCACAAATTGGTCAGTTATCAAAATTACACTCTGGTTTTCAATCTGATTTTATAGTCAGTCAGTCATAACGTAGAACCTCCTACGTACGTACATCAGTTCGAGTTGCCATACCACATCAACACAGAGATGCAGTTGTCGATTGAAATTCCATAGTGGTAGAAATAGTAAGAGTATAAGCAGTAATCCGAAAGATTAGGGTTTGAAGATATTATTCAAAGAGTATAATCCAATGAAATAAATTTGGAAAGAGAAAAAGATAGAGACATGAAGAATTCAGAAGATTAGAATTTGGGAGAACACAAAGAGTGGATGTACCTTCGCCATTTCATTTAAGGTCTCTATCCATCGATTGCTATCATCTCGCGAATCCCAACCAAGTAGTCTACACCTACCAACAAGGCTCAGTCTAATTGTCAGTGACTTCATGGATTTGTGCCACGTTTTGGTCTGGCCGCTCCTAGCATTCTCCCAACCTACTCCTACACCATAAAACATTGCACGTCGGGGCAGTCGGTGGTTGGGCATACGTAGCACGTGTCCCAGTCATCTCAACTGATGAAGTTTCACTACTTCATCAATCGATTTGCCATCCTTACCTAGTACCCGTTTCCTAACAACTACATTACTTACCCAGTGGTCCAAGGATATACGAGCAATATTTCGAAGACACGTATGATCGAATACTAGCAGCCTACAAATATCTTCTACTCTTATCGGTCATGTTTCACTGCCATAAAGTAGGACGAAACGAACTGCTGCACAGTAAACCCATCCTTTGGTTGCTAGACAGATATCTCGCCTAAGCCATAAATGACGCAAGTTGGCGAAAGCTAGTCGAGCCTTCTGTATCCGTGCTAAGATTTAGTCACACACCAGACCACAAAGGCTGATGAGACTCACAAGATTTTATAGGTGTCTCCAGACAGACATAATACATTAGTACAGCAATGATATTAATGAACTACTCTCGAAAAATTTGTTTCTTCAATGAAGATTGATTTTCAATGAAGCATAGAACAGAATAGAGATCTATGAATATTTTTAAAGCACAGTATGACAACAATATGACTAATATTTTCCAGAATAAAAGATTAAAATGGATTAAATTTTGTGATAGTTATTTCAAAGAAGGCAATCAAATGTTAACTTTTTTTCAGATTTTAAGGAAAATTTCAAATTAAACAATTGTATACAAGTGGAAGCGTTATTACTATTGTTAAGGGAATTTTCTAGAAACCAATTAAATTAGATTTATGAAGCATATAGTTACAATTGGCTGGAAAAACTAAGCTTTAAGTAAAACAGAATATCTGAGTTAGGAATTATAATGCACAGTGTACATCACGAACAGATTTTATTAAACAACCTTTAGAACTAGGAATATTGGATAGCTTATTTCGTTTTACCATAGGACTCCTTACTAGTGTGTGTTCATGATCCTACCACTGAAGTTCGAATATACAACTCTCAGTCTCGCAAGGAGTGTTTCATCTTTAAACGATTGAGTCTACATACAAAGATTTATGTGTTTAACTCTAATCAATTCGCGAAAATGTGCAACTATCCCTAAATTCCCAATTGATTGGTCACTGGGTGGTGATCAATTAATTGTGATTACATCTCAGTCCTACAGGAGATCGATCGCGGCTCGAATAGCTCAGTGATAACGTTTCTGACTGTGAAGCTGAGTGATACGGGATCAAATCCGTCAAGAAGCACCAGTCCCCTCAAGATTACAAGTACACCTTGATGACGAGTACCAAGTTGCACAGAACCTAGATCCAGGGTTTCCTGTTGACCACCTCCAATCACCATCTTTAAATTCCACACACACACACACACACTGGGAATAGTTGAACTCCGCTTATCATGTTCTCTCACTAGAGCACCAAGTATTACCATCTCTCAAAATTAGTTATTAATTGAGAACATAATCTCTATAATTAGTAACACAAAGTTTACTTACTTGTGCTAATTCAATAAAATCTCGACGAACTTTTTTTAATGCCTTTAAACATGTTTCCATTTCATCATCAATATGATTCACTTTACAAATCTCTTCACAATAAGATAAACCCATAGATATGAAATTTAATGCATAATTAGTTAAACCTGAACGTTTATCAATTTGTATTGATCGTTCAATGAACCAATTCGATAGAATTTTAATTAATTTCAATGGATCATTTATTATTTCTTCATTAAGATATAACGGTATAGTAAAATGATATTGAATATTCTTTATTATATCTTCATGATCATGATCAAGATCAATAATAGATTCAGATTCATTATGATTCGAATCTGATTGTAAATTAAAAATTTTATTAAAATATAAATTAGGATCAATAGTTTCTGATAAATATGATCCAATAAATAATCGATAATTTCCTATTAATTTTGGATAATAATTAATTATAGTATTTAATGAAATAAATTGTTGATTATATATATAATTAAATGTAATCGATAATAATGATTTTATACGAAAATCAATAATTGATTGAATAATTGATTTAATACATGGTTGCCAAGTATTTGGATTAATAAAATATAAATTTATTGATTTATTAGTTAATGATAATGATTGATGATGTAATAATTCATTATGTATAATAGTTTCTATGCAATGAATATGATTTATATAAGTTATAAAACGATTATGTATACTTGGATACCAAGTACTATTATTCTCATTATTCAAATGTTTGTTGCTTAGTAGACAATTTAAACCATAATTTAATACTAATTGTATATTTAAAAGTAATAAAGTATAATTTAAATTAGATGGTAAAATTTTTGGTAGATAATTTAAACATTGTTTTATAATCCATAATGGTTGATTTAAATAAATTGGATTTAATGTAGATTGAATAAATTGTTGAAAATTTTTAATTTTCCAAAATTCTAAACTTAATTTAATCCACATTTGTTTATAAATGATTTCATTATTTACCTTATTGTTTAATTTATTTAGCTTTAAAGCTTTATAAAATTTTCCAATATGTAAATAATGATCAAATAGTCCATGATAAGTTGTTGATTTCAATCGTATACAACGTATACAATGATGATAAATAATGGTTTTTGATGAACTGATCAATTTAGAATTAGAATCTTCTTTTAAACAAGAAGACAATAGTACAATTTCAGATAAACAAGATTGAGGATTCGATTGAAGAATAGAATGTATAGCAAATACAGGATATTTTGGTAATTTTAAACTATCAAGTGTTTTAGCTAATTTAGGATAAAATTCTTTACCACATTTCTGAATATCTAATAAATCAATGGAACCATTTTCATGAAGAACACATAATTGAATAGTTTGATTTGATAATTCATCCGATTCTGATGGTCTACCCCACCAAGTAATTCGAAAAGGTTTACTATACATATTAGAAGCTTGAAGATTCATTGGTGATAATGAAAGGTTGGGGTTACTTTGAGGATTAGCAATTAGAAGAAGTAATTCAAAAGATGGAATCAACCATACAGAATATGAACCGGATGAATGAAGGCTACCAAGTAATAATTGATCGGATATATCTGAAGATGAGAAAGTTGGAAGTGAAGTAGTATTGAAATTTGCCAAAGTCATAAAAGTGATTGCATCTGAGTTATCAGAAGTTAGGTAACTGTTGCGACGAAATAGGCTGCATAATAAATGAACTGATGTGTCTTTCCAAGCATTGTATAAACTCATCAATCCACCAGGTATTACATCAAATGTTGAACAGGAGGAGGCTGGGATTAAATAAGGTGCCTTTTTGGACACATAATAACATGTTAATCCGAGTTTTTTATGCATTGATTTGGACACAGACACATTGACGTTAGATAAAGTAGATAAAACAAGCAAACTGGAAGATGAGTCATATACAGCTGACAATAAAATAGGTGGTTTAGAAGCTTTGTAAGCATTGATAGAATAAATTCTTATCATCATACGAGCTGGAAAATTTTTCGCTTTCCAATCTAGATGCCACAAATCTACATGACCTCTGAAATGTCCCACCAAAAGATGAGATACATCAATGAAAGACAATAAAACAACGGGAAAAAGTGGTTTCTTGTAACCGAGAGGATCGATCGACTGTGTAAAAGGAGGTGGGATAAAAATCCGACTACGTCGAATATTTTGATCTATGTTGGGCCTCTCACTTTCATCAATTGATAGGTCAATTATATCAATGGAACCATTACTATAACCTATAGCGGTTATATAATACAGATTATCCAAAGCTGAATTTGAGCCATTAGTTGATAAATCGTGCTCAAATGTTTCACTAGATTTATACGATAAAAAAGTAACTATGCGCCACTGTGGGCATGGATCCACATAGCTCAGATACCATTTTCTTGTTATCCGAGTAGAATGATTTGTAACAGTCTGATTGACATCTGACTCCTCATATGTAAAGCTTATGGTAGGTGTTTCAATTAGTTCCAATGGGGTGATATCATTTGATTGTTTTAAATCGTTTAATGACAAATAATTAGAACTTTGAAATCTATTTGGCAATTCCATTAACTCTAGCCAATGAGTAGCTACAAGACACAAAGCTTGCCCTTGAACGGACTCAGATGAAAGATAACCTAATTGCCAAGGGCAATTATTCTCGCGTAAATGAGTGTAAGTGATTAAAACTTGAGAAGGTGGGAACCAAAAAGTCAGTACTTCCGAGAATTTTCTCCAGGCATTATACAAAAGGTAATTTATATTGGAAATTGAAGATGGATCTGACTCTTGATTAGCCGATAACTTGTCATCCAAAGACAGATTGTGTGAGGAAGGATGTACACTTGATAATGAAATATTTCGGCAACGTAACAAATCTACGGCAACAGAATAACTATTGTCTGCTGACAGCTTGGAATCCAAATTTATGGTCCATTCAGCTAATTCGTCAATAATGTGAGGATGATTCATAGGGTCAAGCTTATCAGGTTTCTTAATACCATCGGCTGCATCGGAAATTCTGAAAACAAAAAAAGGTTATCCGAATCAAGTAAAATTAAGAACTAAGGTAAACAAAGTCAAATATTAAATGATTAGTTGTGTATTGATATATTCATGAGATAAACTGGATTGAATTTATATTTTCATATAAGTTATGGTTACGAAACGTTTTATCAAACAAACGAACTAGACGCCAAAAGTTGACTCTACAAAAGTACAGTCATATAAATTCTGAAAGCTTAAAACGGTTAAATATTATAGTCAACGTATGATCTGATATGGATGCGTTTTGGTTCAATTTGCCACACTCCACCCAAATAGGTGAAAACAGAAATATACATATTATCGACGCCCCCCGACTCTAATTGAAGTTTATAAAGTTATAGCTAATCTAAAACGAGGAAGTGCACCTGGTCCAGTTTTAGCGATTACGTTGACCAATATTTTAGCTAAAATATGGGAACTGAATGAAATCCCATCTGACTGGTAGCAATCACTTATTGTCCAAATATATAATAAAGGATTGAAATCAAAATATGATAACCATAGAGGGATTAGTTTAACTAGTACAGCATCTAAAATACTAGTCTCAATAGTTATCGGGTGTCTACCAAAGACTAGTGAACTGCAAATGCGAGAAAATTAGACTGACTCCAGACCTGGTCGTGGCTGCATTGAACACCTATCCACCATTTTTCAGAACTTAGTACACAAGCATGCTTATCAGAGTCCGACAATGATACATTTTCTTGATTTGAAAGCTGTATTTGATTCTGTAGACCGAGAGATTCTATGACAGTGTCTGTCATTGAAAGTTTTACCTCAGAAGTACATAAACCTTGTGAAGGCTCTTCACTCGAACACTACTAGTCGAATCAAAGCTTATCAACTACGATATAAAGCAAGATATGGGAAATATGGTCCAAACGGAATAAAAGAAGACGAAAAATAAAAGTATGGAATGGCAAAAGACTTAAGATTTAGTGGAAAATATAAGTATAAACGCAATCGCGGTTAATTGTTGGTCGTCAATTAACAGCTGAAGTTTGTGAAAGCGTACAGACTAAGAAAGTGGAAATAAGGGTTTATCTCTCCTTCAAAGTTCTTTTCGTGAAGTGAATAATAACCGAAATCCAGCCTAGGAGTACTCGCAATACAATTCGAACTAAGAACAATGTGTGCGTAATCATCATATGAAAACAAGTTCATCAGTGTTAACGGTAAGATTTTCGATAACCTTAATTATATAGGAAGAATATATTTGTAAAATATCTGCGAATGAATTTGAAGTAAATCCAACGTTTCAAGGGAAAAGCTTGGACCAGATCGTCAGGCGAAACGTTGGATTTACTTCAAATCCATTAGCTGAGATTTTACAAATATATGCTTTCTATTTAATGTCTTACATAAACTCGGCGCCCAAATACTGTGAAATTATTCGCTCTAATTTAGACGTAAGTTCTTATATAAAACCTTAATTATAATTTCTAATATTTTTAGACTTTTACTTCTGAGCTTTGTTTAGTCATCATTAGCGTATCTTAAGTCAACGAATGAATCTCCCGGTAGATCAACCCCCCTGAAAATTCAAATGATGAAAGTGTTATCTCTAAAAGAATTTCCCTGACAAAGTCAAATAAGTAAAGATAGAAATAGGGAAAGTGGACAACCCTGGAGAACACCATATGAAGTAATCAACACGGATAACAGTTTGTCATAAGTGTTGACTCGACCAGTACTATTTCTGCGCCCCCAAATGCCCTGGTACGGCCGAGAGTGGGGAGAGTCCGCTCTACCTCTCCAAATGCTTTCATATGGCCACGCGAATACATAGCTTCTGCCAGGGAAGTCCTACTCACTGCCTTCTCGTGGCACCGGTGTTGTTTACGAAATTGAGAGGACGAAAAGCGAATGTCCGGTGCTCTAACCGGGTTGGTGCACATGGAAAGTTTACCTAGGGGAGTTGGAAAACCCTGATTCCAAACCAATGGTGCACATGGGCTCCAGTATCATGGTGAGGGGACAAATGGCGTATGAACGCAGTTTTGGTCACCGGCTACCATGGGACTGCATCTCCTCCTCACGATGCTCCATTGCCTTGTGGACTAGACCTTCACGTCAAAGGCTCCGGAGAATGCTGAAGAGAATGCTGAGGAGAATGCACGAAATAAATCAATTTACGTTATCCTGCCACGATATTTATTCTTTATTTAAGTTTATAAATGGGGAAATTTGTATAAGACCTGTACAAGAAATCAACATCAAATCTTTAGATCTCAATGAAGTTAAAAGACTAGGACTAAAATCTAACAAACATTGGTAGACCGAAATAGTCTTAATGCAAAGGTTTTTAAGGAAAGTAGGCCAGGATTACCAGTTAATATAATTCATTTGTCTATTCCAGTTTAAGGGTCGGAATGCAGATAAATCAGTTTAACTTTCTAAAATTTTGACCTTTATGATCCAGAGGACAATAATGTTTCGAAAGCTGGACAGATTTCAGACCTATTTCTAAGTGTACCGACTACATTATCATGTTTCACTAGGTTCTTAAGTATGAGCACCATCAACGAAGCACAACTTTATTTCACAGGAGCTATGTGAGTTAATTTATCTGTAATGAGAACGCGGTGCCGAAACATGTGCAAAAAATTTTATGACCCAAGGATCAACTAAATTCCAGCTGGCTATTGACTTTTAAATCAAGTCGTTAATGAGTGAAAAAAGCTGTTTCAATACGTAGTAGCGATTCCTTTTGTACACGTATTCAAAAGGTTGTATAGACTGCGAGATTTTCATAACTACGACTCCCATAGTCCTGTTAGCTTTATTATCCCATAAACTGAAACGAAAAAGTCACATCAATTTAACCTAAGTTGCTTATCCTAGCACTCATTTTTAGTCCGTACTTTACGGGTGGCGATGATTAGACTAAGTAAAATAAGTGAAGCTTATCAGATTTATTGGTTCGATTTTTGTCAATGAAATACTTTCTAGAACAAAATATCCCTCATCTGGTGATTCGAAAGTTGGATAATTGTCAGAATTTTGAGTGGCACTGGACTACAATGATGGTAATAATGTGGTTGGTGAAGAGATGAGTTGAAAATAAAATTTTTTGAAGCCTCAAGAATAAATGTCTGGCATATGCTCTTCAGTCCACAAAAATTGGAATGTTATTTTAGGACTTATCCACGTTGAGCTTTAGTTTGAAAACATGAAAAATAGGATGTGGGCACACAAATCATTATACTTGTGGTTCATGTTGTTCAGAAGCAAGAGACTATGAACGTGGATACGGAAGATTCATTAAGACGTCCACAAGTAACATTCTATGTGACGACGGGATATCTGTCCGACTGTAATGGACACATATATTTCTCAGAAATATTTCATCCCAAAGTCAACTTGCAGCTGGATATACTAATGGTAGTGCATTTAATAAGATATACATGTCCTTCAAATACGTGAAGGAATTAAATCGACAAATTGACCACAGATACGAATGGAAGGGAAGTTCTGTAAGATGTTTGAAAACTGTTTACATTATCTTAGAGGATCCATACAAGCAGTAGTTTGAAATAACATTGATAAAGTACCAAAGGTATTCTGGATGTATGAGAAGTGCCCCAAATTCAACCAATTCGTACAAAAATGCGGCTAAAACCCACGTATTGTTATTTCTGGAAAATAGATTGCTAATCTAACCCATTTATTAGCTCACCAACGAAACGAAAACCTCAAGGTCGTTCTCAGAGTCACTTAGGTTGAACATACTCCTTAGATGAGCCAAATTTAAACTTGAAATTGGTGAGAACTATCATCCAAATATTAGAGTTAACCATATGAATATGGCTAAATGGCTTAAATTTACGAAGTTCACTATACTGCACTCGGAAATCTCACTTTTTCATTTTGCCACAACGTAAATTTTCAAGGAACGCGCCTTAATCCAAGGCCTTTCTAGTCTTTAGGCGTCGGTAGTAAGGATAAGAGGTTTATGAATCGATATTAATCCTAACAGTTTTATAACACTGTGTAGGTCCAATGTGGTTTTGAATATATCTGTAGAAGATTCTGATATTTTGTGCTCCGGTAGAGAATCCCAGTATTTCACTACTCCATCTGAGGAACTCCAGATGTAGACGATTTCATCTCGGTTTTTTGAAAGATCTTAGAAACAGAGAGACAGGAGGAAAAGGTAAAGTATAGTAATGTCAAGGTCATGGTTTAGTATACGATAAAGCAATATTAGATCACCCAGTATTCTGCTGTAAGATAACGGAAATAAGTTAAGGCGTCTCAGTCTGTCTTCATAAGATGGGCCAGAGAGACCTTATACCATTTTGCTACCTCATCTTTTGACTCGCTACGGCTTATCCGCGTTGTACTTAAAACAAGGACTCGCTGTTTAAATTCCAAATAATAGTCTTATAAAAGTGGGATATAATACTTCGTTCAAGTACTGAAAGGACCTACGAATGGCACGCCACATTCCAAAGCCTCCGATAGCAGCAGCTTCATTAATATGGTTGACTGTCACCCGAAGATTCTTGTGAAATCGACATATAGGCATCCACTCTTCCTTTACGCTGTACCTTCAAATCTTTGTATCTTCAGAGTGTGTAGATATACTTGATAGTGTAGTATCAGTTTATATGTTAAGCCCATATACTTTATTCTAGTTACTGGCCAAGCTAATTCACCTATATATTATGAGTCGTATTTTGATCTTGTTCATTATTCGCTTATTGACCTTGACTATACTTTTATATCAGCATATATGTGTACACTTCGTATCTTACTCATCATATGTCTGTCACTCATTTTTGTCCGACTATAAATGTTGATTAACGTGATGATGCAACGGATATTCTAGTTTTACAACTAGATACCAGTAGCACCTTCTAAATTCGATTGTTCCCAGTCAGATAAAAATCAGAAGTCAGACGAGAAGAGGCAGGAAAGATATATTTGATTCGTTACCAATATATCGAGGACCTTTTCTATGAGCTGGCTAATGAAACGTAGGAGCAGTGTCCCACGCCGAGTCGAAACGTGATCTGGTGCGGATGCATGACCGAAAGCCTTCAGCTAAACAAGTCCACTTAAACACGTGGTCAGCATCCAATGTCGAACACTTAATGAACTATTGATTTTGGGGAATTATTTACAGCTACATATCACTCCCCCCTAGTGAGGTAGTGATGCCCCTTAGACGTGACCAGCCAGAAGTTTAAACCCAACGAGTTTGTCGCTGGTAAACACTCTTCTGATAGCTTGCTTCGTTTAGCAGCATCTGGTCGTCTTTCCTTAAACTATGGGACCAAAATGTACAACATAGCAATAAAGAAATATGGTACAATGAAAATTTCGGTTTCTTGCGAAACTTCGTCGTTCTTTTCCAGCCGTCCTGGAAAAAAGGAAAAATAAAACGTGTGAGTGCATGTCGAAAATACACTCGTACTTGTGTAAGGACACAAGATGAGCGGAAAAAATAAACTGATACACTTACAAACAGCGTAAAAGCGATTGGAAAAAAAATGGTTTGTTTTTGGGTTTTTTTTATATATAAAAAGTATATACATATACGCTCAAAAAAAAGATAAAAATGTTTTTTTTTTTTTGGGTTTTTTTATATAAATAAAAAATTATCATATTAAATTTTTTTTTAATAATGAACTATGGAAGGGTAATTCAAGATAAAGCTTATGTCCTACGTGCAATATTCGTTAAGATGTTCTGGAAAACTGACTCGTCTTACAGAACGCGTTGTTTTAGGTTTTTCTATCGACGTTGACGAAGTATCAAGTATCAAGTACCAAGTATAATTACTAAACAAGCTTGCTTGGGATGCATACTGTGAACCAGTATATGTTGTAAATTGTAGATCATGCCTGTAAAAATGGCGTGTACCTGCTAATGCAGAAATATATTATTATTATTATTATTATCAAGTTGTGTGTCGGTTGTCGTGTAGGGTACTACGAGTGTAGTAGCTGTGTCGTTTGCTTGTACCGTAGCTAGGTTTTCCTTCTAGGTACGCAGCTTTGAGTCGATCGATACTGATGCTATCGTTCGTACCGTTCTTATCGACTACATAGTACTTAGGTTCGCGTTGAAGAACTTTGAAGGGTCCTTCGTATGCTGATTCGAGGGGTCGTCGATGTGAGTCTCGACGAACGAAGACGTGTGTACTATGTCGTAATTCGGGTTGCACGAAAACATCAGTTGATTGAGGTCGAGTGTGAGCAGGTTTAACTGAACGCATAGAGTTTGTAAGCCTACTCGTGTAAGAGTTTAGATCCATGTTCAATGAAGAAGCTGAAGGATCCACGAATTCCCTGGGAGTCGGAGTGTCGTTCCGTAAACTAGTTGAGATGCCGTGTATCCAATGTCAGCTTTCACTGCATTGCGGATACCTAGCAAGACGAGTGGAAGAGCGTCTGCCCACTGTGAAACGTTTGAAGCTGATAATGAAGCTTTTAATTGTCGATGAAAACGTTCTACCAACCCGTTTGCTTGTGTTGATGGTAGGCTGTCGTTCGGAAGCGCGTGATTCCTAAAAGTGTGGTCAGACAACGGAAAAGTCCAGATTCGAACTGGCGTCCGCGGTCTGTAGTGATGGTTGAAGGGCAGCCGAAATTTGCTACCCATCGTTCGACGAAAGCGCGGGCCACGGTTTCAGCAGTAATGTCCTTAATCGGTACTGCTTCTGGCCATCGAGTAAAACGGTCTACGCATGTTAGGAGATATGAGTATCCGTTTGAGTCGGGTAAGGGTCCTACCAAATCTAGATGGACGTGGTCGAAACGAGCGTCAGGGGTTTTGAAAGAACCTAAGGGACATTTGTTGTGTTTGATTACCTTAGATTTCTGACAGCTTACACAGGAGCGTGACCACTCCCTCACGTCTTTATTCATGCCAGGCCAACAAAAGCGTTCGGCTATAAGTTCGATTGTTGCACGAGCACCTGGATGAGAAAGATTGTGCAACGTATTGAAGACGTTGCGGCGATAGTGTTTTGGTACAATTGGACGATCCCTACCTGTAGATGTGTCACAGAGTAAGATTTCCTTACCTGTTCCCATCTGCCTAATACTTAGTTTAAGAGTTGTCGAGGATAACTCATGCTGAAGATCAATGTCTTCTTTTTGAAGCTGAGCGAGTTTAAGAAGGTCGATTCCTTGGAAACTGTTCAAGTAGCTAATTCGAGACAAGGCATCTGCGACTACATTGTTTGCTCCAGAAATATGTTGTATGTCTGAAGTAAACTGCGAAATGTAGTCGAGTTGTCGAGACTCTCTTGGTGAGTACTTGTCTGAAGATGAACTTAAAGAGAAGGTAAGAGGTTTGTGATCGGTAAAGAGCGTGAATTCTCTTCCTTCGATGGAATGTTGAAAATGCCGTACAGCACAATGCATAGCTAGGAGTTCCCTACCGAACGTGCTGTACCTAGATTCAGCGTCTAGCAACCGTCTCGAGAAAAATCCTAAAGGTTGCCACGAGTTGTTAACCCATTGTTGTAAGACTGCTCCGATTGCTGAGTCGGATGCGTCTACGGCGATACTAATGGGCGCTTGACTGTCCTGATGAGCAAGCAAGGTTGCTTTAGCGATGTGTTCCTTAACTGTGGAAAATGCTTTACGGGCTATGTCGTCTAAACTAATTGATTTTGCATTTCCACGAAGCTGATCGGTTAACGGTTTCATTAGGGATGCGCATTTAGGTATGAACCGTCTATAGAAACTTACGAGTCCGTTAAAAGTTCGTAAGTGCTTGATCGTGGTCGGTTCTGGGTAATCCAGAATGGCCGCCACTTTGCTCCTAATTGGTCGGATGCCTTGGACATCAATGGTGTGTCCTAGGAAGTCTAAGGAGTTTGTTCCGATTTGGCATTTCTGTATGTTGACAGTAATGCCATGCCTTTGGAGTCGATCGAAAACAATGTCCAGATGCTTGAGATGCGATTCTCTGTCCGGATTTGCTATTAGACAGTCATCAACATACGCATGTACGAAGTTGAGACCGCGGAAGACGTCGTCTATAAACCTTTGGAAGGTTTGAGCCGTGTTTCTTAAAACAAAAGGCATTCGTAGAAATTCGTAAAGACCGAAGGGAGTGATGATGGCGGTTTTAAGAATGTCGTCAGGTGCCATCGGTATTTGGTTATAAGCTTTAACCAAGTCGATTTTCGAAAAGACAGTTGTACCTTTCAAGGTAGCTGTCAAATCGTGAATATGAGGCAGCGGGTAACGATCGGGAATGGTTTTAGCATTCAGACGCCGATAATCACTAGTTGGCCGCCAATCATTGCTGTTCTTTTTAGGGACCATGTGCAATGGGGATGCCCATGGACTATTCGATGGTCGAATTATCCCTAGGTCCATCATGTGGTCGAATTCGTTTTTAGCTAACCTAAGCTTCTCGGGAGCGAGTCTTCGAGCTTTCGAAAATACAGGTGGTCCTGTAGTCGAGATGTGATGTGTAACATTGCTGGTTACACAAGGCAATTTCGATTGCGATTGGTATATTCCGGGGTATTTGTCGAGTACTGATTGGTACAAGGGGTCTATGGTGTGCTTAATCGTGACTGGGGATAACCTGCAACCAGAACAAGGAGTTACGCAAACGGACAACTTAGTGTTTCCGTCTATTAACCTTCGTGAGCGTGTGTCGATGAGTAGATTGTGGTATTGTAACAGGTCTATACTATTGATTGGCATAGAGATATCTGCAACCACGAAAATCCAGTGTATGGGTTTGCGTAAACCCACGTAGCGATCGGCTTTCCGTTTGCCGCCTGTAAACTTAAAACAGACTCGCGAAGTCTGTCGTCGGGATTTGCTGGAAGAACGCTAACTTCTGCGCCAGTGTCGACGAGGTAGCGAACTTTCGTAGTCACATCCGTGACGTATAACAGACGGCTGTGTTCGCCGGCTACGGTTGCCGTTAACGCGTGC